TAACAGTCCGGGTCCGAAGCGCGACGGGCGCTTGACGTTTATGAGCATCCTTACAGGTATGGTTGCCTGTTGGTGGCAGGCCGTAGCCAGGCGAAGTGCAGTGGTGTGAGTGAGTGGACCGGCCGTGCGCGGCTATGTGCGCACGTCAAACTTTGGACGCTAAATTCTGCCATAGAACCGGAATTGCCCGATCGGAGGGTAGGGGGCACTGGCAGGGTCAACGCAACAAGCTTCGCTTAGCGGGGGCTCTGTCCTTGCGAATCCTTCTATTGAAAAGGTTCGGACTAAATTTATAAAAAGAACTCCCCTCTAGCGAACAGGCTCTTGTTGGTGGGGTGACCGTTTGCCTACTTGGTTAGCTCGTTGACCTGACCCTCGGGACGTGCTCAGCCATCACGCGGCACAGCATTGCATGGTGGGCGCCCAGACCAATGTTCTGCCTCCCCTCGACTAAATTCTATCAATCACGTGCCTAAAGCTATCGCCTATCTCATCAGACCGGAAAGGAGAAAAGACCTACCTAACCGCCCATTAAAGCAATGTGCGAAATCAATCAAATCCTATCCATTTTGAAGGGTCTGTGAATTAACCAATTTCCCTAGGTCACCGACTTGACCAGACCGATAGTTCATTTAGGACATCAAATCAATGAACAATGATTAGTTGGAGGTGAGCTATGGCTAGTTTGAGCATAATTATGCATATTATGATGGTAGAAAATGACCTTATGCTCATGATACAATGAAATGATATTAAAATAAGTCCAAAAAGTATTATGATATATTTCGACTTGCGTCGTCTTCAGAATGTACATTTTCGGAATTGTCGACGGGCAAATTCAAATCCTTTCAAAATAAAAATGTTGCACGCTATTTTGAAAGGATTTGAATTTGCCCGTCGACAATTCCGAAAATGTACATTCTGAAGACGACGCAAGTCGAAATATATCATAATACTTTTTGGACTTATTTTAATATCATTTCATTGTATCATGAGCATAAGGTCATTTTCTACCATCATAATAACAATGATTAGATTTAGTTTTCAGATCCGTCGTTCAGTAAGCAAATAGTAAATGTGCCCATCACGGAAATGAGAAATCTGCCAATGCCGTAACAATTGGCCTAACACTAGAACGTAGTAAAAACTGGTAAAAACCTCTGATGATAAAAAACATTTGGTCAATATGGCAGCATTCAATGTGTCACCAAATGCGGCATTCGTCCTGCCTCACTGCATATTTACGTCTGGACAACGACTTGCGTTGGAGAGGCCGGAAATAGTGGCGATTTCAGGACCGCAAGAATGGACCGTCATTGGAATGATTCTTTTTTAAACCGTGCACTGTTTTCGGCCGGAATTTAATAGTTACTACAAAATATTTTGTAATTACGTTTCCACTAAGAATGAATGCCATCAGGGCTAAATTTTTAATACTATTGCATTTTGTCAAGAAGCATATAGTGCTGTTATATTGCAGTTTTAGCGCGTTTGTTACAAAATATGAACTATGAAGCGAAGAAGCGTCAGTGTAATTCATCAACAGTGCCAGAAGTTAACTTGAGGGAAGGCTATGCTAATTGCTCTTGTCCATCCACTAAAATTTATTAAATATTTTGCTTTGTGTATTCCAAAAGGAGAGGGAACTATTTCATTTGTGCCTTCATGTCAGAATTGAAGGTGGATCATTAAATTTTCAACGCAGTTTACAAACAAGCATTTGGTCTTTCTCGTTTATAAGCAGTGGCTAGGAAAAGGTTGATCAATCCTGAAGTTCAGTCATCGTACCTCAACTTGGCAGCAAGATCCCCCAAGGACAGAGGATATATTGTATACATGTCCTGTAAATCAAAACAAACACACATTTGGTCTTTCTCGTATATAAGCAGTGGCTAAGAAAAGGTTGATCAATCCTGAAGTTCAGTCATCATACCTCAACTTGGCAGCAAGATCCCCCAAGGACAGAGGATATATTGTAAACCTGTCCTGTTAATCAAAACATTTTTGTGCCTTCAAAGGCTTAAGTTATCTGTGGTGTGTTTGGAGTTAGGCTATATGGCCGTTTTTGTTGTATGTTTATGTGGTGATTGAATATAACTGGGACCCTGTGCTTGTTTGTATACTTACGGTCAAACAGGGAACAGCACATTCACATAACATACTCACCTAGCACCTAACTCATAGCTGTACCCTGCAGGATCTGTACTTGTTCATGTCTCGAGCATTAACAAAGCACTTAAGTACCGTAAAATGGGGTGTTAAGGGACAGTGGGGTGTTAAGGGACAGTGGGGTGTTAAGGGACAGTTGCATGGGAAAAACTTTGAGTCATATTAACTTCCTAATTTGAGAAGGTTCAATAAAAACTTCAGTGTGGTAGTTGACACTGTTTTGCTCTTGACCATAGGAGAAAATGGTATGGTTTTTCATGCAAGTGATTTGGTTCAAAAATGGATTTGAAAATCATGCTACATTTTCACAAAATTGAAACATCTCCAAAACTCTGTGTGTACCACATAAACTAGTGGGTGTACAGGGAAAATGAATGCATAGATGTATTGTCACATGTATTGCACATGTTTCCTGAAAAACTTGTGCAAATCCACCCATTCATTCATCATCCTCTTCCTCTTTTCCGGATACATGCATATTTTGAGGTGGATGTGGGGTGCTAAGGGACAGGGAATAAGAAATAAAAAATAATATCTAAATATAATTTAATTAAGGAGGCATGGAAAACACAAAATTCCACATAAAATGCTGGCAAGTTCATACTTTTATCTCTAACACATCTAAAGTTATGTAACAAAACATCTCAACACTCTCGTTTACAATGATGGGTCAATGGAGACTGATGTAGGTAAATGTGATGTCATCATAAAAAGGCTAAAACAAAGAGGGCAACATAATGACAAGTGACTAGCTTCAACATGGGTTTTTATTGATGACAGAAGATTACTTTTTGGTTCTGTTTACCTTATAATTAGCACATTTTCCACAAGCGTAAACTGCATTACACGTAATTGGCTAAAAAGGTCATTAGTGGTGAATGAACCTGACTTGTTTTGTGACAGAATATGCAAAACATTTCAATAAATAAATTGTGTGCCCTTCCACACCCCAATTGTGGGCATTTGATGACCATTTCTTGGAATAATATAGGTGTCCCTTAACACCCCACATTGGGGTGCTAAGGGACAGTGATGAAAAATAATAAAAAATAATATGCAGGCATAAATCTTAAAAACTTTAATGTGGCAGGCATGTAAAGCACCAAATTCCACATAAAATGCTGACAATTTGATGCTTCTATCTCCAACCCTTCTTGAGTTCTATAACAAAACACCTCAAAACTGTCCCTTAACACCCCGTTTTACGGTAGCTTAGTAATCATTTCCCACATTTTCTGAGCATCTAACATGACATAAAGCAGTGCAGAGCAGCTTCAGAGAAGAAACACTTTAAATGCACAGACTCACACCAGCCACCCAATGAGCCAGTTCCTCAGTTGACTGTTTCCCTGGACACAGCTTGGCAATGTGAGCTAACTTTTGGCAAGTTGAAGGTTAGCAGTTAAGATTGAGTTAGGGTGAGTACCTACCTAACTGGGTGCTACTGCCATGCAGGTCTTGGGTAGGCTGCAAATATGTGTGATGATTGAGGTTAGGTCAGCTGCCTGTCAGGTTAGTCAGGTTCAGTGCTCATTGCTCAGGTCACATTTTTATGGACATTTGGCAAATTAAAAAACTAACAATCTGATCTAAGCTAACCCGACTAAACATACACAACTACTGACTATAGGAACTGAGCACCTACCTACTTGTGCCTACATCCCATACCATGTCAAAGTAGAGTTCCTTGGTGGAAGATTACCCTCAGTACTTTTTATCCCAGCCCTGTGAAGAAAACTAATACTTCTAAGCTCTGAGTCACTGCTGGCCATCCACAGGAAGAAACACTGAGACTGAGAGCTTTGCCATTGTATATTGGACCAATAATGACTATCACAAATGACTATATGAACACATAATATGATCACCACGGTGACTGTAAATAATGATCACATCGTTGTATGGATTGTCACATTGACAATTTTACTACAATCCTTTTTTCAAGAAATACAGTGATGATGATTAACATCAAAATCAACATAAAGTGGATTTAGTGATCCAAGCTTTCTCCTCCAGTAGCAATGGAATGATCACATGTTTCATTTGCCAGACACTGAGTACCTGATGCACATTACAATCTGCATAGCATCTAAGCATAGTAAAACTGCCCAAGTCCATTCATTCTAGATTTTAACTTGATAGTTAGCACTAATTCATCTTGCTGTTGTAAGTTATCATTCAATATTCATACCAATACATCAATATGCGCTCATCAGTCAACATTTTCTGGCATGATCCTGCTCAGCGTGCTCTTCAGTATTGCTCCAAGGTCTGCAATATTATAGCTTGTTTTTGGACAATAAGCTCTTTTAATTTTACTTTTTCTTGCTGATATATGAGCCCGATCAACTTGCGTTTATCAACCAAAATTTCATAACTTGTTCAACTTGATATTGATATTGCTCAGTAGTCACTAGTCAGGACCTCTGTCACGACTGTCAGCCTCCTGGTCCTGGATACTTCAGATTGTTTTCAGTCAACATGCTTCTTAACTATGATATAAGTCAATCTTAAGGGATTCAAAACATCCAACAAAACGACGTACAAGAGCAAGAAAACCACCAGATAAACTAAAAATGGCCTTGGAACAGAGCCAAGTGGTGCTCCATTTGTTTGTTTACAATGATTGTAGTGCTGATGTATTTTTAGGACTCTGAACGTCGGCTTATAAAAATGAAACGTTTTTTACAAAAGTTGTAAGGCAAGTAATATTTATCTGAAAGAACTAAAATATTCAAAAGCCAAACACTATGAAATACATGAATCGGAACGAAAAAGTAACCCAAAAACCCAGCCTAATCACCGGCTCCTAAAACTGCAACACAATCAGCACTTTTCCCCGCAACTCGTTGTCCAGACGTAAATATGCTGCCTCACTGCGAAAAAAAAAGTATTGCATGCGTATTGCATTTTTGTTGACACAACACGCGAGCTCAAGTTGAGGCCGGTAGTTGAGGGTTTGATTATCATTATTTCGGCGTATATTTGATCTTTGAAAAGGATCGAAAATGGCGTCCGTAGCAGGTTCCAGTTCGTCCACTTCAAGTACTCAGAATCCTAACGCTGGACAAGGACAACATCAAAGCTGGAGGGAGAGGGTGAGGTTTATGTCTATCTTTCATGTTTTAACCACACCAAAGCCGTACCACAATAATCTATTGAGGAATTTAAGCATTTAAGTTTTGCATGAATTTTGTCGTAGTTCAAGGATCTTCATAATCCAGTGCTAATGATTTTTTCAGGATAGGTCAGTAGGCGGAACTATGGTCAAGCATACCGTAAAACGGGGTGTTAAGGGACAGTTTTGAGGTGTTTTGTTATATAACTCAAGAAGGGTTGGAGATAGAAGCATCAAATTGTCAGCATTTTATGTGGAATTTGGTGCTTTACATGCCTGCCACATTAAAGTTTTTAAGATTTATACCTGCATATTATTTTAACTATTTTTCATCACTGTCCCTTAGCACCCCAATGTGGGGTGTTACGGGACACCAATATTATTCCAAGAAATGGTCATCAAATGCCCATAATTGGGGTGTGGAAGGGCACACAATTTATTTATTGAAATGTTTTGCATATTCTGTCACAAAACAAGTTAGGTTCATTCACCACTAATGACCTTTTTAGCCAATTACGTGTAATGCAGTTTACGCTTGTGGAAAATGTGCTAATTATAAGGTAAACAGAACCAAAAAGTAATCTTCTGTCATCAATAAAAACCCATGTTGAAGCTTGTCACTTGTCATTATGTTGCCCTCTTTGTTTTAGCCTTTTTATGATGACATCACATTTACTTACATCAGTCTCCATTGACCCATCATTGTAAAAGAGAGTGTTGAGATGTTTTGTTACATAACTTAAGATGTGTTAGAGATAAAAGCATGAACTTGCCAGCATTTTATGTGGAATTTGGTGTTTTTCATGCCTACTTAATTAAATTATATTTAGATATTATTTTTTATTTTTTCTTCCCTGTTCCTTAGCACCCCACATCCACCTCAAAATATGCATGTATCCGGAAAAGAGGAAGAGGATGATGAATGAATGGGTGGATTTGCACCAGTTTTTCAGGAAACATGTGCAATACATGTGACAATACACCTAAGCATTCATTTTCCCTGTACACCCACTAGTTTATATGGTACACACAGAGTTTTGGAGATGTTTCAATTTTGTGAAAATGTAGCATGATTTTCAAATCCATTTTTGAACCAAATCACTTGCATGAAAAACCATACCATTTTATCCTATGGTCAAGAGCAAAACAGTGTCAACTACCACACTGAAGTTTTTATTGAACCTTCTCAAATTAGGAAGTTAATATGACTCAAAGTTTTTCCCATGCAACTGTCCCTTAACACCCCACTGTCCCTTAACACCCCATTTTACAGTACCCATTTTCGGGAACGCATTTTCGTTCTCATGTTTGGGAACGATAAACCCAAATATGGGAATGCCATGTAGGCATTATTTAAAACAAGAAAAAGAACCGTTAAATGACGTCCAAAAAATATAAAACGATCGTAAACCGCCTGATATTTGTCTCAATATTGTTGGGAAAGAGTTTGATATTGTAAGGCCCATCGTAGTTTCAAATCGTTCCCCTATTTCTAAAGCAGTCCATTCCATCCTCCGGGCCGCGAGCTCAAATTTGGGAACGCTCTCGTACACTGGCGCTGCAAGCGTTCCTTATTATGGGAACGGCGTACCCAAAATTGGGAACGATTTCACCGACGCCTTTCAGGGGCTCTTTTCATTAACAAGCATCACGTCCAACGCCGCAAATTATTGTTAACGCACCAATCATCACATGACCTTTCCGGCAAGACCGTCGCATGTTTCGCCCGGTCTTCTGCGCTTTTATTCCCGTCTATCTCGCAGCGGGCACGCCCCCCTCTGCAGGATTACGTAATTCACAACGCTCAGCGATGTTCAACAAGGTCTTCCATACCTATATCCACCGTCCGTGCCGAGGGTGGAGACATGTCAAGCACCTGTCTGTTTATCACCGATAGTTGACGAGTATGTACAAGGAAGTATCCAAAAATGGGAACGCTGAATATGTTACACCCTCAAAACACCTAGTCCCAATGAAAATCTAGTTTTTTTCCTTTCTTAATGAGTGTAAGTGGCAAAAGGCCTGGTAGGATGGGCACGAGGAATGATCGAACTCAGCATATAAATTATAAATAAGCCACACAGAGCGACCTATATAAGAGAAATTCCCCCAAAACGATCATGCTTAGAAACACGGAAGACAAAACCACGCTCATGACGCTCCTTATAAAACAACGCTAAACAGCTAGCATCCAAATAAAATATGTCTTTCCGGGCTGATAAAATACAGCTGAATAATTTTCGACCACTTAAACTGAGTTTACAACAGTAGTTCGGTAAAAGCACGCACGTTCTACGCGGTCGTCCGCCTCGACACCAGATGTCAACAATATTACCTCGGGACTGTCCGCGTGTTCGCTTGCATATGTCAGCATCGGGTGTCGCTAGTATGAAACTTCATAACCAGGCGAAAATTATTATACTTGACCTCAAAATGTAAAAAACGCTTCATTTTCCTTAAAATTGCATAATAAAATTTCCATAAAATTTCCTTAAAGTTAAATGTAGTGTAACCCATGTTTTCACCATTCCATCATTTCAAAAAATCATTAAAAATATCATTCGACGGTCAATTTCCTTGTTCAACGGTCAGATTATAGATAATTTTATAGAGACTTAGTAGATACTTAAATTAGCGTGCACTTTTTTGAGACGTGATGCACTAATGAGTTTTAGTGGGCGAACGGCCGAAAAATTACCTTCCGTTCTCATAAATGGGAACGCCCGTTCCCATATTTGGGAACTCCGTTCCCAAAAATGGGAATGTTCCTATATTTGGGTACCTACTCATGACCATAGTTCCACCTACTGAGGGGTGGTGTAGCATTGTTAGGTATCAGTCTGAATCAGTCGTGTCTGGTACATGTGTAGGTGAAGTATGGTGAAGATAAAAAAAACATAATCTAACCTGACCAAACCTCACCTACTGAACTATAGCCTTGAACCTACCAACTTAAAACCTACAAGTTACAATGGTACAACCTACAACCTACAAACTTACCAACCGTACTTCATCTACACATATACCTACCTCATGTTGTTGGTTGTTCTTGATCTTTGCTAATGCTATACATACCCTTCACTGATCTTGGTCCACCATTGTTGTTTTAGCATTATCTTACTGTGGTTTTTCATATTGTCAGAAATACCATCTAGAGGTTCTAAAGGTTGCAGCTGAGTTAGCGATTAGCATCAAACTTGACCCGGCAGTTGCTGGGGTATTTCGCCACCCGCCGTTTGCTGGGGGGGGGGGGGGGTCATTTATTGATGCAAAATTCACATATCTGTCAACCAACTAGGTAGGAAACAAATGATTTAAATAATAAACCAATTGGCAATTGGTACAAATCAAATATATTCAAAAACACACAAAGCTTTTGGCTTCAACAGCCACCTTTAACAACAGCTTTGCCTATGACACAGTGACCAAGGCTGTTGAAGCCACAAGCTTTGTGTGTTTTTGAATATATTTGATTTGCACTAATTGGTTTATTATTTGCATCATTATCCAATCTGTCATGGATACTCAACATCAGTAGGTAAACGTGGTGGGTGAACAAGGCCAAAGGCATTTCAGAAATCCTGTCAGCATGTTATCCTAAAACAGTTCCTAACCCAGCCTTTGTAACATGTTGATCTTCCTGCGCATCTCCCAGCGTGTCTGTTATCCGGCCGTCCCCAGTGCCGGCCCGCCGTGCTGGCTCGGCCGGTGAGTCCCAGCGTGTCTGTTCTCCGGCCGTCCCCCGTCCCGGCCCCGCCGTGCTGGCTCGGCCGGTGAGTGACCGATCCACCCGTGTTTCCACGGTCGGCAGGCGTTCGTCTCGGAGCTGCCATCCGACTTCCTGCGGCCGGACGGCGAGTCGGCCCCTTCCGGCGCCGGCTCCACGCAGGAGGAGCTCGACCGGCAGGCGGCCCTGGCGCTGGCACGTCACTACAACAGCCGGCGACAGATGCCGGCCACGCAGACGGCTGCCGGCAGACTCAACCTCACCATCGCACAGGTCAGAGACGCATATAGGCTATAGTGCAACCATGGCAACCCAACCTCACCATTGTGCAGGTCAGAGACGCACAGACTCAACCTCACCATAGCGCAGGCTAGCAGACTTGGCCATAACATGCGCAGGTCAGACTCAAGCTCAACTTCACCATATTACAGGACAGGGAACTCGTCCTCACCATAGCGCGAGCTATCGAACTTAACCTCGCCATAGCGTGGGCCATCGAGCTTAACCGCGAGCTGAGCACACTTCAAACTCCTTTGAATGTCCATTCTTACTTCTGAAAAATTGATAAGCTTTTCTGTATTGCTATTCATCCCGTTTTGGAAAGCCGCAGTATCATTTAACCGTTGAACTAGCCTCGGACGCAACAGGACCACTGACCAGCCATATAATCTAGAATGTATACGAGCTGTCAGTCTTATTTTCGTCCCGACCGGCGCACCCCTGGCTAATCACGCGCTCCGTCGACAGGCGAAGCTGACCAAGAACTACGGCCTCACGCGTATGGATCCGTACGTGCGCCTGCGACTGGGTCACTGCGTGTACGAGACGCAGACGTGCTACAACGGCGCGACCAACCCGCGCTGGAACAAGTCTGTCATGTGGTGAGTCCAGGGGGTGAGTGGGGCCTTGAGAGGGAGGGGGGAGGGGCGGCAGCCACTTTGACGCCAACTGACTGCCACTGTGGCGAGGGTGGCTGTCTCCATGGACCCACTGCGGATGCTATTTCGGGAGTGATGATCTCTGCAGAGTGGTTGAATCGTTTTCTGTGATATATTTGGAGCAATTTGGTCTGTTGCCCAGGGCTAGATAGCGACGGCGTAGAGACATTCTGATTATTTTATTTTGCGTTTCTTCTCTTTGTTTGTTTGTTTGCTCACAACCTTTATGCCGGGAAAATTGGTTATGGGTCACCGATTTGTATCCAAATCCGGGGTGATCCCTTCGGGAAGGTTGCTAGGATAGCTCGGAATTTGAATAAAAGTTAATGCATTTTGCTGATATTAGACCTCGGCGCCGGAGCTGACAGTGTTGCTGAAAAGTTATGGCTGCATGAAACTTACCCAGATTTCCAGATTTATGGACCTAATAAAACTGCTAAATATTTTCCGTCGAGTTAACATCAGAAGATCATTCCACGCCGTTGAAAACTCCGAAGCTGCTTGTGGGTGGCATATCGGTGCCTTTGTCTACTGCTGGTTTATTCAAATGATTCCCATGGATGTTGTCACCGTTAGCCGTTAAAAAATATGAAACTTAATGCCGCAAATGCACTTTCGAAATCAATGTTTATTTTGGTACAGGCTTGATCCACTTCGCTCCTTGATCGAAATGAAAAACACCGTTCCAAAAGTCGCACATTGCGGCTAACGAGAGAAAATAAACTAAGAAATAAGTTGAAACATAAAGATAAACCTTTCTTGAATGTCACTTTGACACTTGTTAATCAGTGAATGCATCGTCCTTGGCTTTGCATATTTACTTTCACTGTTTCAGAATGAGCTATAATAATGACCCCGTTTCAATCAGTTTCTCATCCAAAAAAACCCCTTTTCCTTAATTTTCTAAGCACAAAAATATGACAACAATTTCGTTGCTAGGCAACAAACGCACAGTACCCCCCGGTCGCGACATCCTCCCCCACCAGTGTTCACAAGGGGGAACACGAAACATGTCACTCGCGATACAGGCCACACGTTCCTGACACCCCTCGGTGTCTTTCACTCTGCACTTAACGACCACACCGTGTCAGCTCTGAGCACTAACGGCCCATGCCGATTCTGTCACGGCTCGCGTTGACCTTACGCAGGTCACAAATGTGGGTGCTAGCCACGCGGATCATTATCAATGTCTTCGAACACAGAACGTACCCCATCCATCAAGATCAACATTACTTTCACGGTTCGTCTCACATGAGCATCACATATTGGGCCAGTTGGCCGTGCACCCCGTCGCACGGATTCTCCGATGATTCCGATTTAGAGGCTTAGTTGAGACTCTCCAAGAGACACAACTTCGTTGTCGGGCGAACATACGTCCCACTCTTTGTCTTCACTTCCGCTGATCTGACTCCTCCGTCAGAGCCTGGGTAGACTCTTGTGATGCGTCCCAATTCCCAGTATCCTCTAGGACTCTGACTGTTGACGACCAAAACTACGTCGTCTATCTGCAGATTCTTCTTCTCTGTCTTCCATTTCTGTCTGTTTGTCAGCGTAGGAAGGTACTCCTTGAGCCACCTTTTCCACAGATGTTCAGCGAGGATCTGTACTTGTTGCCATCTCCTCCGTCCAACAACATCAGCATCAGCATCATTGAATACCCCTGGCGGTAGTCCTTCTCTTCCATCAGATGAGCCCAACAAGAAGTGGTTGGGCGTAAGAGGTTCGGGGTCTTGAGGATCACTGCTAATGTAGGTCAGAGGACGGCCGTTGATCATGAATTCGACCTCCGCTAGGGTCGTCTGAAGAACGTCCTCCGAGACGCATTTGTTTCCTAGAACCACTTTGAGGGAGCGCTTCACCGAGGCGATCAGACGCTCCCATGCACCGCCCATATGCGGGGCGGCTGGCGGGATGAACACCCACTGGATGTTTCTCTGACTCAAAGCATCGGATATCTGTGCCTGATTCCAATGTTCGATGGCTTCTCGCAGTTCTCTTTCGCCTCCGACTAGATTAGTGCCATTGTCCGAGTAGATAGTTCGAGGTCTACCTCTTCGTGCGATAAAGCGGCGCAGTGCCATGATGAAGCTACTGGTGTCCATCAAAGCAGCTAGCTCCAAAAGGATGGCCCGAGTGGCGAGACATGTGATCAGCAGCACATATCTCTTTTCTGTCTTTCGAAACTTCTTCACCGTCAGAGGTCCGAAAAAGTCGAGTCCGACTGTGCTGAACGGACGTCTCATGTCTAGACGGGCCTCTGGCAAGTCTGCCATCCTGGGTGGCTGAGGCGAGGCGCGGCGGTTACGGCAGAATGCACACTTCCACAGGTGCTTCTTCACAGCTGACCGCATCCGTTGCACCCAGTACTTCGATCTCAGCTCACAAAGTGTTCTTTCCAATCCCCAATGCATGACTCGCTGATGTGCATCGACAATGACCAGTCTGGTGATCTCACTCTTGGCGTCAAGAATGACGGGGTGTTTCGTGTACTCGTCTAACGAAGTCTTGCTCAGGCGCCCACCAACTCTCATGAGGCCGTGTTGATCTCGGAATGGAGACAGGTGGTCGAGACTAGCTTGTTTCATGCAGGTTTCTTGATCGTCCTTTATTATGCTGATTTCAGCCGCATCAATTTCTGCGCTGCGTAGTGGACCATCAATGACTTCTGTGCCAGCAACCTTGCTCTTCACGTTGCTGATGAATCGCCTTATCCATGCGACAATGCGTCTGTAACGAGTCCATGAAGAGAGCCGCGCCGGGTCTATGAGCTGGGACAGTAGAGAAGTGATCTCTTCTTTTGGTGAACTAGCATGACTTGTCGCACAGATGGCTGCTGACCTCTTGACTTCTACACAGTCTGGACTGATGTCTCCTACGTCTTCTTGTGGTGGCCAGTGCTCTTCTTTGCTTTCTAGAAACGCTGGGCCTAGCCACCACTCTTGCTGGTTTTTCAACTCTGACAGAGACTTTCCTCTTGAGCAGAGATCTGCCGGATTTTCTGAGCCTGGCACGAAGCGCCACTGATCTGGGCTTGTCGTGTCGTGAATCTCAGATACACGATTCGCCACAAATGTGTGGTATCGCCGACTTTCGTTCTTCAAAAACTGCAGCACCACTTGACTGTCTGTCCAGAAGACGATTCGCTTGAAGTTGTAGTTCATTTCCCTTTTGATAAGACTGGCTACTCTTGTTGACATGACGGCACCTTGCAGCTCAAGTCGGACTATCGACAGCTGTCGCAGAGGTGCGAGCCTAGTGCGAGCCATCACAAAGCGACTGTGATAGTAGCCGCTGGACAATACTCTGATGTATGCTACGGTACCGAACGCTAATTCGGAGGCGTCGCTGAACATGTGCAGCTCGTACTGAGCGTCAACTTCTTGTTCCGGCGCGCCATACCACCGTGGAACACATGCGTCCTCAACATGCTGAAGCTCTTCTTGCCAGCGTCTCCAGATATGTAGGGTTTCTCCTGTGATTCCTTCATCCCAGCCTAGCTTTCTTTCCCAGAGACTCTGGATCAGTTTCTTCGCCACTAGTGTGTAGGGCGCCACGATCCCTAAAGGATCAAACATAGACGCGACTTGCTTCAGGATTCCTCTCTTCGTCGGCGGCACCGCGACTACGCTACACTTGACGGCCAGGTAGTCGTCCTGCGGGGTCCATTTGCATCCTAAAACGCTGCAGTACGACTTGCCCGACGAGTCTATCTTCAAGACAGCTCTTTCATCAACCGGGACTTCAGCCAGCACCCTCTCCTCATTGCTCATCCACTTCGTGAGGCAAAACCCTCCTTTGGCGAGGATGCTGGAGACTTCTCTTTTCATATTGAGTGCAGCTTCACTGGAACATTCTGAGTTGACGAAGTCATCCATGTAAAAGCTGGTCTGAACCGCTTTCTTGGCTGCTGTGGACTCTTCTGTGCCAGTGCAGCCGTCTTCTGCCGCTCTCTGTAGTACAAAATTTGCGATCGCTGGGCTGCACTTCGCGCCAAATATTGCTACTTGCATTTGGTACATATCAGGCTGTCGTGTGGTGTCAAGGTTTCGCCACCAGAAACTTAATGCTGGCTGGTCTTCCTGGCGAATCCTGATCTGGTGGAACATCTTCTTGATGTCTGCTACCATGGCAGTCTGTTCCTCTCTGAAGCGGAGCAAAATTCCAACCAGATTCTGCAGCATGTCCGGTCCCTTCATCAGCTCACTGTTCAGGGACACTCCCAGGTGTGTCGCTGCAGCATCAAAGACTACCCTCAGCTTGGGTTTATTGGGGTTTACTACCGCGTGATGTGGTAGAAGCCAGCGCCTTTTCAAACGCTGATCGGCTTCTTCTTGAGACAGCTTGCGTGCGTGCCCCGCTTCAACATAAGCTTGGAGCTCGGCTTCATACGCCTTAGCCTTTTCCGGGTTACGTAACAAGCCTTTCTCAAGGCTCTGAAGTCTTCTCATGGCTGATGCTCTGTTGTCAGGCATTCTCTGATCTTTGCCTTTCCAAAGAAGTCCTGCTTCGTATCGGTCTCCGCATTTCTTCACTGATGTATCTAGGAGACGCAATGCCCGCAGGTCTTCTGCTGAAGCTTCCCCTTTGAGCTCAACTTTCGTGCCAAATGAATCAGTCTTCCACCACTCTTCGACACACTCTCCGAGATGCCTGTCTTCTGTGTCCGCACGGTGGATGAACATCACCTCTCTGGTTTGAGGTGGGACGAAACCAGCGATCGTGCCGGTCAACGTCCAGCCAAATGCCGTGCGCACCGCCACCGGTTCTCCTGCTCGTCCAACTTTGGCTTCGCGTTGAAGAACGGCTTCAAGGACATTAGCGCCTAGAAGCACCTCCACTGTTCCCTGTGAGCAGTCAGGTATGTTTATGCCTTGTAGATGCTTCCAGTCATCTTTCAATCGTTTAGGAATGTGCTGTGCTCGGACGTTTACTCGCGGCACAGAGAACGCTTCAGGAACAAGGATCTTGCGGTCAACATCTTGACCTTCGCACAAAGGACTCAGAGTCAGCTGGACCCTTTCAGACCTCTTGGTACTTCCTCGTCCTTCAACATTTTCGATGCATAGCGACTGCGCTTCGCCTGAAATCTTCACATCTCTGATGATTGCTTCCGAGCATAAGCTGGTCTGAGATCCTGGATCTAGCAGGGCCAGCGTGTCTCTAAATCTTCCATCTTGGCCGTGCACTCGAACGGGAACTATCTGGAGAAGCGTCATTCCCTCTGCTGGTCGGTTTCCCGTTACTGCGGCTATGACTCTCTGGTCACCACCGTGAGGCCTTACACGGTGACTGCCGTGCAGCATCTTGTGGTGTTTCATCCTGCACCCGTCTATTCCACACTTCTTAGAAAAGACACAATTTCTGCTCATGTGGCCTTTCTTTAAGCAGATGAAGCACATTCCTGAGCTGAACACTAGCTCAGCTCGGCCATTGGCGTCTCGCGCTCTGAAAGCTTCGCAGTCCTTCAAATGATGCTTCCCGCTGCAACACACACAAGTGTCAGAATCGAGTGAGGCTGTAGTGTTTGTAGCCAGTGTCGCCAGTGTCTTTTCTTTTGTCTTTTGATGTTGTGCTCCAGTTGCTGGTCTGGACTGCCAGGCGCGTTTTTTGACTTGATCAGTGTCTTGAATTGTCACGGCAGTGAGCTTCTGAGAGATCCTCACTTGTGTTGTGAGCCACTGGTCGAAGTTGATCAATGTAGCTCGGGCCGGCTCCATTTCAACGACGTGTGCGCTCCAAACGCGCTTCATTTCTTGCGGCAACTTCTCCACTATTCTACGCAGGTTTTCTGTGCTTTGAAGGTCTCCTTCGTACTTCAGGTTCTGAAGAACTGTTACGGCAGAGTGAACAGCTGAGTGAAACCGTTCCAATCCTTGCAGATCTAGATCTGCTGGCGACGGGCATGCAAAGATAGCCTTCATTTTCGCCTGCACAATGTCCTCTTGTCTGCCAAAGCGGTTTTCTAGCGCGTGCAGCGCTTCTTCATAGAGAGTCCCTTCGTAGAGCATCCCACTGATCAGCTGCTGCGCTGGACCCGTTACTGCGTTTTGTAGATGCGCCATTTTTTCAGTGGAGTTTAAGCTTGCTTGATCGTGCACCAATGTTCGGAAGAGCGCGAACCATCTTGGCCACTCTCCCGGACTACCACTGAAGTTTGGCAGCGTGATTCTTGGGAGACTTCTTGCGAACAGAGATTCAGATTGCGTTGGCACAGGACGGGCGCTGGACGGCAGAATAGGCACATGCACTTCAGGGCTGTCATCTTCAGACTCCTTTTCAGCTGGGGAATCGCCTTCGGTTTGAGCTCCTTGCTCTTCAACTGCGGATGCCTCACCATCAAAATCCTTTCTGCGGTCCCAGCTGAGCTCACTCTCAGCAGCTGCGGTAAGGCGCGCTTCTAGCCTGGCTAACTCTTCGGCATCTTTAGCGGCTTGAAGCTCATTTTTTCTTCGCAACTCTTGTTCTTCCCTTTCTCTCAGGTGTCGCCGCTCCAGAAGCTTACGTTCCTTTTCTTTCACTTGAAAAGCAATGTCAGCGCTTCGAGCAGCTAACGAGCTGCTGGACTGGTGAGACTGAATTGAGCCCGACACTATAGATGGTGTTTCACCTTGTCTGGATTTCAAATATTCTCGTATGCATTGATATGCTTCGTCGTGTTGCTGCTCTGCAACCTTCATGTAATCGACCGCTTCTTGAACAAGTGCTTCATCTTCTGCTATTGCTTCTTTGAGCTCTTCGTTCACTTCTTCTAAAGACTCAAGTGCAGCGTCCAGCTCCTTAAGCATGTCGACCAGCTGCGTCCTAGAGCCTCTATTTTCAATCATTACTAGGGCTCGTCTTCTTACTCTGGTGAGATTTGACAGCATCCTCCCACGCTTCCTTTTGAAATCAGATGCTGACATGATTGGTGCAAATAAATCAGTGTATCTTAATCAAAGTTGATAACTTGAATTCAGACGCTACATTGGTTTGCATCATGCTACTTTATATCTGAGCAGCTTCTCTTAAACTTATGCTGTGCAGTTCATCTTAGAGTTTTGCAAACATTTTTGGAACTGTCACCGTTAGCCGTTAAAAAATATGAAACTTAATGCCGCAAATGCACTTTCGAAATCAATGTTTATTTTGGTACAGGCTTGATCCACTTCGCTCCTTGATCGAAATGAAAAACACCGTTCCAAAAGTCGCACATTGCGGCTAACGAGAGAAAATAAACTAAGAAATAAGTTGAAACATAAAGATAAACCTTTCTTGAATGTCACTTTGACACTTGTTAATCAGTGAATGCATCGTCCTTGGCTTTGCATATTTACTTTCACTGTTTCAGAATGAGCTATAATAATGACCCCGTTTCAATCAGTTTCTCATCCAAAAAAACCCCTTTTCCTTAATTTTCTAAGCACAAAAATATGACAACAATTTCGTTGCTAGGCAACAAACGCACAGTACCCCCCGGTCGCGACAGATGTAATCCTGCATTTACATATGGCCATTATTTTGAATGAGCATTTCAGAAAAAGATTTAAGTTAGTAGTTTGATTCCGTTGTGTTCCATACCTGTTTGGATCGTAGCGCATCCACCAGACTTTGCCGCAACACTCGGTCTGGGAATATGCACATATCGGCTTCCATTCAGCCGGAGATGTGTTGCCACATTCAAACGTCCCGCAGGGGACACCTTACCTGACAGAGGCTGGTGATTGGCTGCTATCCCGCAGATGGGCGATACCAGACCGTTTCCATCACCCCGTGACCCCTGTACGATCCGCGCAAGTAAACGGATAAGCACCATCGCTGGTGGATGGGCTACCTTCACGTATCCTTGGAAATCTTAATGGGTGATGCATATCGAATTATCCCGAACCAATTCAATTTGCCTCTCATTTCACAAGGAAGCAGTAATGTTTATATCACCCTGGTGATGCGGATGCCCGTCGAGCTTCTCCTGCTTTCTTCAATTGCATTTTCTGTAACTGGTGAGGATTATCACATAAATCCGGTCTGTTTTCGGAAATGACGTGGTGGCGGCTCCAACTTCCCTGAAATAGAGACGGGACGTCGACGCTCCCCCGGAGCGGCAGATCCTCCCGTCTTCGGCGAGGGTGGCGTGGGTCTGTGGCGAGGGTGGCGCAGATGTGCGTCATTTACGGGAGCCTGCTGCTGGTACAGCCCACCCGGATCATCTCCCTATATGCTGGTGTTTCCACGGAAACCGAAAGCCTAGTGGTCGCTAGTGGCGTGTCGTGAAACATCCCCCGATTTTTGCTCTGGGGAAGTTCGTAAAACCATTGGAGCATTCAGATTCATGTAGATCCACGCAGATCTATGTATGTTTCAGATCAGTCGTCGCTTGTGGACCTAATAAGTGTTGAGTGAGGAAGGTCGGCTCTATTTGAAGTAGAATAGATACTTCTGATTTAGCGACCCATTGGCGCGGTTTCTCGCGGTGATGATTTGTCAGCTGACAGCGTCTCAAAGCATCGTTTGATGAACTCCAGGATGTCATATCCTGGAGGGCCATAAAAGTATGTAATCTCCCATGTTTCGAGCGGTCCCGGGGAAAAGTTGGCCATGTGTCATTGTGAACCTCAGATGACCACTCCATTATCAGATGGGCTGTTCGGGCCAAGACAGGCGCTAAATCACTCTGACCGATTTTTCCCGATGCGAGCTAAAGCCGTAAATTGAGAGCTGAGAATAGTTACATCAGAATACAGGGAACTCGACTCCGATGCAGCGCTCAGGCAGGACGTAGATTAGCGAAGTCGTTTTATCAGCCCGCATTGGTGTTCATGTAATTGGCACTGTACTAACTGTACTATGTCGATATCGTGATTGGCAGGCTGTCCTGGGGGCTATGCAGGTAGCCAGTCCAGTATTCGCCCGGTTTGTGGGATGCTGAACGAACACCATGGCCCTGTACCCGTCTTGTAACGGACTAAACCAACGGTGTTGTTTGGTTGTCATGTTTGTCGGTAATAGGGGCGGCCTGCAGTAACCACAGCGTCATGAAGCTGTGCTTTTGAATGAATGTTACGACTAAAGATCGATTCAATATTGAGTGCCAAATGGGCATATGAAGATATCTTAATCAAACGATTTCACTACGAGCTATCACAACAAACCTGCTTCAACACAACCCTATACAAGCGTATGCAACCCTTAGCCATGATTTTATACCGATCATTGCCTCGCTCTTGAAGCATGCATTTTCTATTGGTCTGGAGTTTAACATTGTGTCCTATTTCGCTAACTGCATCAATATTCACCTCCCATTTAGAAGTTCCCCAGCACCCGGTATGTTATCCGCTGCCATTCTCGGCCCGTTGCCGTGACCAGCGGCCAGTGACCAGTCCAGTCCAGTGACCAGACCAGACCAGTGACCAGTCACTTCATCGTCTCTCCCTCTGTCGGCCAGCTACGTTCCTCACGGTGTGACCTCGATGGGTTGACCTCGTATCTCTGTCTCTGTCCGTCAGTTACGTGCCTGACGTTTGACCTCGAGGAGCTGACCTTATCATTTGTCCCCTCGGTTCATACACTTGGGGTGACCTCGGTGGGTTGACCTCGCATCTCTCCCTCTGTTCGCCAGTTACGTGCCGCACGGAGTAACCTCGATGCACCTGGAGATCTACGACGAGTGCTCCTTCACCGACGACCAGCTGGTCGCGCAGGCCACCATTCAGGTGAGGACGCCCGCAGTGGAGGTAGACGGCGCTGGGAAACGGCAGGAGAGCCAAAGCGATGGAATATTGGCTCACGTATTTCGATTGAGTTTGATCTACAGGGCAATTTTGTGTGAAATGTTAAGGCTTTGAAGCAATATGCAACGTTCGCATACTTCTTGCGGTACTTATTTGTTCCATCACCACATTATTATTGCCTATGAACAGTTCAAATCGCCAACTTCAATAACAACTATATAACACATCTCACGCTGCAGCAATGCTCATTCAGATCAAACAGCTTTGAAGGGCAGTCGGCTGGGCGCATCAGCCTGGCGTCAAAGCGGTCATCAGCTTTGCCACAACTGGGGCGCTGCGTTCCTATTCTGGTTACCGGTGGGCATAACTCTTCGGCCTTCCGACACAACGGCTCCAATAAATCACCATCGCCCTGGTACTTTGCGTTGTTCGGATTAGGCTCACTGCCGACCCGCGGGAGTATTCTGCGCTGCTCATAACTCGGACTCGCCCCACACGCAGGTCGGCACAAAACCGAACCGGCGCCCGCGCCCGCTTCATTGACGGCGCAATGTCTACCTTGTATGTTGCGTCATCTCAGTACCGCGCGTTTGCCTTCCCTGCCGATCACATCCGCTGTACTCTGACCCCTCATGGCATTACGTCGTTTGGTCCTACTGAACCTGTGTCCTGATTTCTTGATATGCGTAGTTCTAGGTCTGGTGTCTGTGCGTAAACCATGACGCCGCGTTGTGTCGTGCGTAAATACGGTGTTTCGTGTGTCGCTGGTACATCCGGTAGTTGGAGCCGGTCATTGTCCTGGCACGTGGAGGCACGTGGCACGCTATGTGGACTTTGGACGTTAAAGAGTTCCTTCGGTCGCGTAGAGTGGCGTGTACCGGTCTACATAGGGCTTCTCTAACTCTTGGGGAACTTATGGGGGACTGTGGCTGCTTTGGATAGCTCTGCAGTTCAGGGAAGGACTGGCATGGCCGTCTGGGGCCCCTTGTAGACAGGTTGGACGCGTCTGGGCCAGGTGAGCAGACTGTGCCGCTTTGATACGTCGTCCTCACTGGCATCCGAATGAATGAACGGTTTTCTCTGTTGGGTGGCTCATCCCTTCCACCGAGTATTTGACCACTGCTGACACATTGTCACCGTGTATCACGAACGTCACCCTGTGTCATGGCAGTCACAGTACGTCTCTAACGTCAGAGCACATCTCGACCGCCACCGTATGTCGCAACTTTCACCGTATGTACATACGTCACGGCTGCATAGTGCGTAGTGCACAGCTCTTGACAGGTGTTAATCAGCGATCCCGGGCTATCGTGACTGACCAGTGCGGTGTTTCATTGTGAAGGCCTTATCGGGCCTTGGCCCAATCTAACAGTGTCGATGATTCGTATATTATTGATCAGAATACATCCGGTTAGTGTTGCCGCCCTGGTTCAGCACTATTCGTTTGTCATCGTACCTAACGTCATACTCGTATTCATCGCCAATACTGTAGTCTTCCGAATTCTAAGACTTAGATTGAGTCTTTATCCTCTCCGTGTCATATCCGCGTCTTTAGTAAGAGCCTCGAATCAACCTATATAATTAAAAGGAGCTCACCGAAGCGGGAAACTCTGGCCGATCCGTTCCCGGGTCTGAGTCGCCATTGGGTCGTCGGTGTCTCGTTAATGGGTCGCTCCCGCCGTGGGCAGAGAAGGAAGGTCGGCCGATGCTGGAAGGCAGGGGATACCATAGACAGTGACTCCATGGCCGGAAATGGGGGGGGGGGTTGTGCCGTCTCGTTGGGTGGTTGTCCTATCACAGTGTTGTGGTGACTGCTGTGTCGTATCAATGCCCTTTTGACCGTGTCTTGCGCTAGCGTGCTGAGAACTCGCTCTTTGCACACACACACACTCTTGTTAGCAGTGGTGTGAAAGAGATTCGTGTGCGGTCTTCGTCGGCTTTTGGTAGTGTGAGAACGGCTTCGGTTGGTTCAGAGCGGGGCTGCTCTGAAAACCGCAGCACCTGCGTCGCTGCGCTCCTCAAACACAACAGCGTGGCAATGGAAATACTTGCGTGACTTCAGAGCCGCATATGATCGTAAATTTAGCGCAGCTACTGCGTGCTAACTCCGACACCCAGGATTTAATAATATCATATGCGTTAACTGTTCGCCGGATCTTATGTGATGCTCGGAAACATGACCATTGCCTGCGGTGGAAGGTTTATTTCCCTCCTTTAGGCCCTATTGGCTTAATCTAGTTTGTCTTGTCATCGCTAAAACGGCACACACTTGGCCAAACAAACCGATTGATTTCTGTCTGTATTTGTGAGCTGCATCCAGGCAGACGGCGGCAGTGCAATTTCAATGGTTCTTACAGTCACCTGGTGTTGCCTTGCTCGCCTTCATGAGCACTGGTGTAACCAGCCCCCGGCTGAGAACATGCTCATACGGATATCGTACTTATGTGGATAAAAGTGCGACGGTTACGGCGATATTCTGCTTCCTGAGAGCAGAGCAGGAACTGTGGGCGGGGGAGGTGCCCACGGGGATGGGTTACGCGCTGGTCGCATACTGTCCGTGCCAGTGTCGCCTGGTCACTGATGAATGGAGTATAGAGGGCGACGGGACCCGGATAGTGTGGGAACAGCGCAGCACGGTGGTCCCATAGGATCAATGCTGCGTTGGAAGTGGCGAGCACTGGCACTGTTTAATACCAATTCCAATGGTCATATCTTGAGAGTGTCGGGAATTAGGTAAATAATCAATGAATCAAAGCGGTTCGTATTTTACCAGTGTCGTGATATTTAGTTGTGTCTACAGTACAATTCTAGTTGAGTTCTTTGCGCAGTTAAATCACGCAACTGCTGTAAATAATATCGTCTGATTTGTTTATGTGACAAGTGACTGGGCGCCAGCCCGTAGCTCATCTTTGGTCAGCTTTATTGCCCTCTGATGTCGGATCTGACATTTGCCTCTGAAACCCACGATGGCACTGTAATAGATCCTAGATCAATCATGGCATTGTGTAGGAGTGTCCTAAAGTCCGAAACGCGACCAGTGTCATTGTATTCGTTGACATTTCTGTCATCCTCACTCATCATTGCTCAGTGTTGTTCGTGATATTTGGCTAATCAGTTCGTATATTTTGACCATGCTGCCTTGATATGATTCGTTATGCACCTTTAGCTCCTTTTGTATTGCCGGTGCACTTTTGATTATATCGCAGTGCTGCGTTTCTAAGCTACCCTTGGCCATGCTAATTTAATTGGTCTTGCATATCTGTAATCTGACCAATCTCTAGTCTTATCACACTTGCTGCCATTACCTTGTTGACGGTCAAACAATTTTAAACAGTTACCGATGATATGTCGCGGATGTGTGTTACCCGTGCCGTGACCCATTCCGTGACCGTGCCGTGCCGCAGATTCCGGACTGCGTCATCACCGGCGGAGAGACCTCAGATGACTGGCACCCGCTCTCGGGCAAACAGGGCGACGGCAAGGAGGGCATGATCAACCTCATCATGAACTACACGGTCAGTCTAACGGGGAGAATCTAACTTGGAGAGATTTTGTTCATCTTGTCAGAATCTTACCTGCCCTGTGTCCCACGTGAGGCAGTCAGATGGGGTTGCTGTTCAGGTTGGAGGACCGCTTATTAGGCTTGTTTTTGGGTCAATTGGTAAGTACTGCAGGTTTTTTAGCTGTTGTCTCTTCCCATGTCAGATCAGCCATGTTCTCTTGCTTTCAAAGCTGAGAGCGGTAGTTTTCTTTGGGACGAACCGCAGGGTTGTTTCGCGGTATCCTAACCCCGAGTTCCTGACGTCGGTCATTTGCTGGGCACTGCGCCGCTTGGCTGACTGGGACGGAGCTGTAAAACGGTGTTCCATTGGCCGGAAAACTGGCCCACCAGCAGACCGGAATACTGCCGTCTTTAGCACAACGCTCCGCCGTGGTTAGGGGGGGGGGGGGGGGGCAGGGGGGACGGGGTTGATGGTCCCCGACCGGTAGCCTTTCTAAATTTATTTTTAATCGCAGTCAGTGCGCAGGGCACGGCACGCCTGCATCGCTTTGCGGTTATGTGGGTAAAGTATGGGCTACTTAGCGCCTAATGTTCGGAGCTAAAAAAGCTGCATATGCTTGTCATTATGTCTAGACTTTGGAAGACAATCGTTTAAGGTACAGGGTCGTTCATTACTTACAAAACGGCTTGGTCAGTTGAACATCATTTTACACATTTTAATGTCATTTTAACTTATTCCTGCTGCTTCATTAGTACGGCGTTTCCCATTTTCATAGTACGGCAGCCGTGACCTATCCCGCGCTGATCGTTTCCTGCCTCCGCTCCCGTGTGAGAACTGGCCGCCGGTAGTGTTCACTCGCGGCCAGCGCGGTGTGAGCGGCCGGCGATCCCAGCTGAGCCGTCCGCCACGCGCCCTCCTACCAAAGTTGGCTAATGGGCCGCCATGGGTGGCAGCAGGCGACGCAGGCGGCCGCAGGTCGACTTTTGGCCGACCAGTTAACTCTTCGGCCAGTTCGGACAGGACTTGGTCGGACGAATTTTCTACTCACCCCTCCCCGGCCTTCATATACCGTGAGTGGAGTGGCCGCCTGGCTGGCCGGTATCAAAACGAAATGCCCCCGGCAGTCTCTGTGGACGTCATAAAATATGGCGGCGGCACGGTCATCCATCTCGGCAGCGCGTCCGTCCGACAGACCAACTCGCCCTGGACGTAGAGGTGGCCCGTTTTTTGTGGGCTCGGCGGCGGCAGGGCGGGCCGAATGGGACGGGTGGCAGCGCGCGAGGGATGGATGCAGACTGGATTAGACTGGTCTTGCCGGCAGGTCGGAAGATGTCAAGGGTATCCCCGGGGAGGGTTCTGGCGTGGGAGAGTGTCGAGTGTCAGTGTGTGTGTGGGGGGGGGGGGGAAGCGCTGCCTTGTCGGGGAAAGGGGTGTCGGGTCGTGTTTGGAAAGGGGCGCCGTCATTGGCAGTGAGGCGTGCTGCGGTGCTTGGAGACTTTCTGCCCTTGATGACATTCCTTGGAAAATTACCGGCACCGCGCGTGTCTCTGGTTGTGAGAGGGTTAATATTTATGTACAGGACAGCACCTAGATTTCGAAGTCACTTTTTATATTATCCAGCATAGTGATAAACCGACGTTTAGCTTTGCACTGGTGATGCTTTTCTTTACGACTGCATTGACTACAATCGCGCATTTGTACCAATAAAAGAGCCATATCCAAGCCAGGTTATATCTAAAATGAGGAACACTGCAGCAAGCATCGTTCTCATGCAATGCAGTGCAGAAATCTAAGAGTGCTGAAATAGTCTGCCAACACTAACACCGAAGCCGCCAGAGGTAGTGTTTACGCCGGCAATGGCAATTGATTACAATTGGGGGATGAAGTTGCCTTTGAAGTCTTTGAAATGATTGAAACCACCGATGCCTCTTCAAAAAATCACATCAAACTAGGCCGAAAGAGTAATAGTAAATTTCAAAAGAATTTCGATGAATATCGGTCGAGGATTCGATGTCTTACATCAGCCACAGTGTGTCTCCAGTGGCTCATAATTTCCTCACGGGCCATTTCGTTTATTTCCACTGGCGCAGTCGGGCCGGCCCGGTCGGACAGAAAGTGACACTTGTCGGTTTCTCACGCCGCCCATATCTCTCTCCCTCCCCTCCCCGCTCTCCCCCGCCGGTCGTCGGTAAGCCAGCCCCCCACCCCCTCCCCCCCCCCCGCAGTCATAACATAGACGCTGTCTGTGGCGGCACTGGCCGGGCTCTGGCAGACCTATGGCCCCCGTAGGCGTGGGAGATTCGACAGGGCGCCCCAGCACTGTCAATATGGGGAGTTATGGCCGGCTCACGGGTCCAGATTCTACTGGGGAAGAGTCTGGACTCCCGGGGGGGGGGGGGATGACTGTCGTGTATTTTGTCTGAAACTTGAATTATGGAGACTTAGTGTTTGTGACGCAATATCCATGGCTTGTTCAGAATGGTTTCTTAAAATTGATGCGTAAAATGTATCCTGGCCCCCGGGGCACGTTTCTCAGTAGCTTATGCAGGTGTTGAACGGTGTGGCATCCTGTAATCTGGTTATGGTCTCCAGACATGGAACAATGCGCGGTCTTTCATCGTCGTTATAATGGTTCTTCTATCTTTCATTTCGCGAGCGTGGTAGAAACTGTAGCATGTTTGTTCGTTCGGTGAAATGCATTGGAATATTCTTTGGGACTATGGTCCAGCGTATCCTGTGATGTGATGAATTGAAACATCACCCATCTGGTGAATTGTGTTAATGCAATGCCCCTTTTCATTTTATTTACCTCGAAGATGCTCGAAGGCAGGTGTGAACTTTGCCTTATCGCTGTAAAAGGAATATTCATCGGGAGACGGAGCAGATAGATGAACACTCACTTCCACTGGCGGATCCAGGGGGGGCCACCGGGGCCATGGCCCCCCCCCAAAAGCCTGAAAGGGGGGGCCAACATATCTTTTGGCCCCCCCCCCCAAAAAAAAAAAAACGCTTGAAGAAAAATTAATGTGAGATGGTTGCGTAGTAGATACTTACTAGAATCAGCAGCGTGATTCAATAGCGTAGAGAAAGTCAGGGGTGCGGGAACTACTTTCAGACTGGGGGAGGGGGGGGGCACACCATAATAGAGATCAACCTAGGGTCCCCCCAAATCTAGTTTCTCACCGGTTTTAGGCCACTTATTTTTCATCTCTTGGCATTTTCAACACAAAAAAGAAAACATTTGCAAAAAGGGCGGTATTCCGTCTGAAAGTTGTGGTGGCACCGCCCCCCACTGGTGGATTCAGGGAGGGGGCCACCGGCGCCATGGCCCCCCAAAAGCCTGAAAGGGGGGCCAACATATCTTTTGGCCCCCCTCCCAAAACGCTTGAAGAAAAATTAATGTGAGAAGGTTGCGTAGTAGATACCTAAAAGTTAGAATCACCGGCGTGATTCAATAGCGTAGAGAAACTCAGGGGTGCGGGAACTACTTTCAGACTGGGGGGGGGCACACCATAATAGAGATCAACCTAGGGTCTCCCCAAATATAGTTTTCTCACCGGTGGTTTTAGGCCACTTATTTTTCATCCCTTGGCTTTTTTCAACAAAAAAAGAAAACATTTGCAAAAAAATGGGGTATTCCGTCTGAAAGTTGTGGGGGCACCGCCCCCACGGCCCCATAGTTGGGGGGTGGGCAAGCTGTCCCCACTGCCCCGGTTCCCGTGCCTATGGAGAAACCACCGGGTTTACTAGCTTCCTTCATAAAGTGTCGTCATGTCTTGTCGTCACCCGAGAAGGTCTTATTGCATACATATCGATTGAACTGTCAAGTTAACAAACTTGCTCTGGCAGCCTGACCTGACATGACCCGGCAATTTTTCATTCACGGAATATGCGCAATAATTTTTTTAGGAACACTCACTGAGTTGGCGTTGAAAAGCTTGTTTTGTTTGGTAATTGTACAAGAAGCATATCAGGGACCTTTTTGTCCCTTCCCGTGAAACGGTAAAAGACTTATTTCGGTCAGAGCTCAGGCCAATCTCTAAGGGGTCAGTCGGGTCACTTATTTCTTAAAAGGGTCCTTACGGCATCCAAGGACCAATTCCGGCTTTTGAGTGCACCACATCAGCATTTGATGCTGCGACAGATGGTGAAATATGAATATATGTTACAGGCCGTATGAAAGTTGTCCGTTTGCAAACGGCCTGGCCCAGTCAGGGCATATGAAACAGCCTGAAAACACCGGCCGTTTGCAAACCATGACCTGAAATATCAGACCGTTTGAAAACGGCCTAGTTAGTTTCGGCCTAGCGGATCCAGGGGGGCCACGGGGTCATGCCCCCAAGCCTGAAAGGGGGCAACATGTATTTTGGCCCCCAAAAACACTTAAGAAATATGAATGTGAGAAAGTAGCGTAGTAGGTAGAAACTACCGTATCATTAAAAATATGTGAGCTTGAGTGTTGGTCTCGTCTTCACCCAAGAAGTTCTTATTGCATACTTTACCTCTCGATCGACGCGTGAAGTTATCGTGTAAGTTATCATGAATCCGATCGCGACGAAACTTTAGCACCCTCATGTTGACAAAGTCTGAAAATTACATGACCCTGACCCAAGTGACCTTTGACCTGTGGCCTATTTCTCGAGACTATCCGTGCGTTCGGAGAGCATGGAATATTCACCGTCCCCTGGAATATTCCCCGTGCCGCGTTCGGAGGCGTATCTCTCTGAACGGCCAATCTCCGGGAATGTTCCGCGCGCATGGAGTATTCCACGGATTCCACGTGGAATGTGCCTCTCCGAACGCACCATATGTTTGGCCATGTTTGAGGCCATGTTTGGCCGGAATCGCGATTCCGCGTATGTCGGCTCACATTATCCGCTCGTTTACAGTCTTTTCGTGGTTTAAAACGCTCAAACATGTGAAATGATGTTGGTCCCAACCATTGTGGTAGGTGTCAATGTCACCTTAGGGTCAAGTCAGGTCATTGACCTTTGATGACCTCGGTGCACTTTTCCGAGTTTAACATGTTTCTAGGATAGTTTCGTTTAGCTGATTTTGAATTTAGCATTTAGCAACCATTTGAACATTTACGAAGTAGTTTTGATGCCTTCGTATCATGTTACGTAGCTGCCAGTGGTAGTCGGACACCTGCTACACGGACACCCATAAGTACTGTTTGACCTGGTTGACCTGACCTGGCCTGCCCCGACATGGCCTAAAGGCATGAAGACATCATCTATGATCCAAACTAACATGAAATTCGTGATCAGCACAAAAAAAATCTATTACAGCCTTACTTTAGGAGGTTCTGACAGGCCCTGATTTTCCCGTCTTTTGGGTCTGTGACCTGACCTGGGCGGTGTTTCACGGCACGCTGCCAGCGCTGTTGGCACTTTTGGCTTCCATGGAGACATCAACTAGCCTATACCTACAACACTACCGAAGGTTGACCTTAGCTCGCGGAATGCGCTGGCAGCGGCTGGCAGCGCGACCGTGAAACACCGCCCTGGAAGGTCAACCAATGACCAAGGACCTTAAAATCGGGTAGCATCGGCTTCCTCTCGTCACTGACAGGCAACACACTCGTTTTTTCCGCGAGCTCTAGCTTGATCAGGGGCCGAACGGCAGAGAGGTTCAACCGACACCTCCCAGCCCGCGAAGGCTGCGCCAAGCACCGACCCGGAGCGGTGGTCGACAAAAGCAATTTGAAGCGTTTTCAAAGTAATATTAAGGCACGGGTTGAGTGGACTACCATTTCTCTCTTTATTTTTTTTTTTAGTTTAAAAAAAATTATCGTTTCAGGGCTGTGACGAAAAATAAGTGGCCTAAATCCGATGAGAAAACAGGATTTGGGGGTGCCCTAGGTTTGGCTCCTTGCACGAGTTGGCCCCCCCCAAAACGCAAGTCTGGATCCGCCAGTGCTCACTTCTAATCGGGCGTTGTAGTTAATAACGGAGCATTATCACCTCTCGGCGCTTTTTCATCTCTGACCGGGGGCTCCCGGTGTTAAAAGTACGGCTACTTATCCTAAGTTGTTAATTAGCTCTCCGACTGACTGGCCGTGTGAGCCTCCACCCGGAAAGTTAGCTCTCGTGTGCATTAATCATGGGTGCGGAACTTTCGTCTGCCCCATTGTCGAGCTCAGAGAAGGGTGGTCGCGGACTGAAAATCATACCTTTTTCTGTTGGAGCGATGTAGTGTGTGCCCAGTTTCTGTGGTGTGTGGGATTTTATGGCTGTTGTGCACTTGCGTCGATGTGATTTGTCCTATTTGTACTACAATGGTATCATTTACTGCTCAATGTCCATAGAAACCAATGTATCCTGTGTCTCTCATTAATTTAGGGCTCTTAGCAGACAACTAAAATTCGTCCAACTGAACATGTTGGGGTGTCGTAAAAAGTCGTGACACTACGAGGGGGTATCGAAAAGTTCTGATCATCACATAGAAAATATAGACCGATTTTGATGATTTTTGGTGGGTATTATATTTGGTTCTTAAGAACAATGCTCCCGCAAAGAGAATCCTGAGAAGTGGTTTTATCTTATGTAGGAGAGACTTAGAAGTAAAAAAGATGAGTATTGGGCCCATTGAGGACCGATCCGTCATTCAACTAATGCATTTGAAACGGTATCACACTGAAAAAATACATCAAGAACATGAAATTAGTTTATGGCGAGGAAAGCCCATCTCATGCACTTACTGAAAATGAGGAAATAATTTTCAACTTGGTTGCATGGCCCTTGCAGGGGAGTCAAGAAGTGAGTGACTACCAGTGACTGACAAGGTGGTGACTGTGAAGGAAGTGGAAGACCTCATCCTTACAGATCGTCGTGTGACCTTTCAGATGATTGTGCAACAGAAATGTATCAATGCTGGCAGTGCCTGAAAATATTATCAGCGAAGAACTACAGACGATAAAGGAGTCAGCCCGCTTAGAAGTTCATGTGTCTACTTTGTTCAAGAGAAAAATGCGTCTTGGCCTTTCGAAATGAAAACTAGGCCTTTTTTAGGAAATTGAAGACCTCTTCGAACATTTGATGACATGTGACGAATGCTGGGTTCTATGTGCATGATCCAGAGACAAAAAGATGATCAAGAAGTTTAAGCATGGCACATCTGTCCTTCTTAAAAGGCGAAGATGCAGAAGCCGATATGGAAGGTCAATGCTATCAGTGTTCTGGATCTGGCGTAGAATAGTCATTACCGACTGTCTTGATGATGGTCGGATAATGATAAGCAAGCACTACTGCACACTTTTGAAGAAGTTGCGAGATGGCCTCAAGCAGAATCGCCGCAAAAAAGCCCAAGAAAGATGTTTTATCCGCACCGACAGCGCCCCCACCCATTCGTCCTGAGCTGCGATTGAAGAAACAACATGATGTGGACATTAAATCCTACCGCATCTAAGAAATTCACCTGACCGGGTATTAACTGACTCTTGATTGTTACGGGAGATGAAGAATCCACAGCATGGCCGGCGATTTTAGGACAGAAATGACGTCATTGATGAGGTGGAGCAGTGATTTACGGGACAGCGCGAAGGTCCTACAATGACCGCCTGAGGCAGCTCAAGAAACGATGCAATAAGTTTACAGTCGTGTGTGGCAGCTTGCAAAGAAGTAATGAACATCATGCAAAGAAAATCAAATTTCTATCACATCTAATTCATGGTGATGATCAGAACTTTTCGATACCCCCTCGTATTTGTCACGCAGCCGTGGGTTGTTTACGGTTTCTGTTTGGGTTTATGTTCGCCTAGAATTATGGATTATGTTGGCGGTTGTGCACCGCGAGGGGATATGTCTGGTCTGGGTGTGGTTTCAAATTCGGCTTAGTGACTTATATGGATTCTGCGATGTGGTATTGTTTCCTGTCGCACCATCCCCTGACCCCTTTGTTTTTTTTTTGTTTTTTTTTTTTTTGTTGGGTTAGGCCTTTCGGTCCAATTAGACCATTTCAGAGCCGGAAGGATGATAGGAATTAGGGGGAGACATTGGTCTGGGCAGGCACCCTAGTGAGTCGCCGGGGCTGAGCCCGTCCAGAGGACAGGCCACCCAGCCCCAAGGCACTCACTGCACCCGGCTACGGGGTGCACTCCCTCGGGAGCAGCGGTGCCGCTCCAAGGGAGCAGCCCGCATGAGATAAATTTACCTGTCCAGCCCGGAAGGGGGTTGCGGCGTGGAGGAGAAGGATTTCAGTATCCTGAGGATAGAAGCACGGAACGGTCCCCTGACCCCAGAGTGTTTTGCTAGTCCCCTGACCCGCCTCCCTCTCTGTTTCTCCGCAGCCGATGTCGGGTGACATGAGCGTGCCGGCGATGCCCGGTCAGATGCCGGTGATGGTGGCACCCCAGCCCTACATCGGCCTCATGCCCACCATCGGCGTACCCGTCTACTCGGCGCCGGCCGTGCCCACGCCCCAGGCGCAGCCGCCGGCCCGGCCGCCGCCCGTCACTCCCGAGGACGTGGCCCAGGTGAGCGATTGTGGCGCCGCTCGGTGGCGCGGGAGAGAACTGAGCAGAGGGAGAGATGTAGGGGGAGCTGGTGAAATGGAATTCGGAAGTCGGGAAATCGCAGATGAGCGGCGTGCCGCAATTTAGGGGATGTGAGAGCAAACGTTTCTTCAATTGGTGTTTATCTGTCGAAACTGCGCCAACAGTATGTCTTAAAATCGCAACAATATTGTATTTCTTTTCTTGATTTTCCGTTTGTAGGGTGTTCGAACAGTACTTAGGATTTCCCTTCTTATCAAAATAATTGTTCAATGGTGTGGCATTCGCTGCACGTTTCCAATTCAGGCTATGCAGAACTATTAAGCAGGCCTTTCGTGGAGCAATCAGGAGACTACTCCACGAACAATGTCACGAACAGAACAGGTGCCATTGCTGGCTGATGTTAACCCATTAACGCCCAGCGGTACCAAAAGGTACCAACGCACATTTTGGCCCGCTGCGTTGAGACCATACGTTTTTTTCGCCACATAGATGCTGTCATTGGATAATCGCCTCCTTTCCGGATATGCTGTTGGATGAAAGTAACGTGCTGATACAAAGAACTTCATGTGAGGTGCAGAAAAGCGAGGAGTGTTTCGAGGCGCCACAGTCATTGGCTGACGTTAGGAGAAAGAAACGTTTGTATTTGCATGTCTGTGAATATTCTTTTGGCCAAAGTGTGTTTACATTAAAGATGAAGAACTCGCAGCTACAGTTAAGCAGAATATCCGATGTTTCGTCATGAATCCTGGCGTCCCTAGTGGAAGAATTCTTGTTGGTACCTTTTGGTACCACTGGGCGTTAAGCTAAGCGTTTTTTCGCAATTTCATGCGTGCGCGTTCTGTGCAGACGCGTAACAATGCTCAACGGAGTGATGCGGACAAATTGCCATTTGGGGCGCCATCCCTCAAGGGGACGCCACCGCCTAAAGACATTGGGTGCGTAAGAGGGGTGCCTGTGAGACCATAGGGGCGCCGATATGCGAAAGAGGGGCACCTATAAAGTTCATAGGGGCGCTTCAATGCAAATGAGGATGTCCATAGGAGCGACTTCGATGCCCATAGGAGCACCTGCATGCGAAAGAGGGGCACCCGTGAAGCCTCTGGAGTGCCTCTGAGGTCCATGAGGCCTATAGTATATGTAGGGGCGCCAACACGCAGAAAGGGCGACGCCATGCAAAAGGGGCGCCCATGAAGGTCAAATTCGAGCTTCCATAAGAAAGCTTGGCCACTGCATCCCTAAGGATGGACGCCCCTGAGGCCTATAGAAAGAGGTGCGCCTGTGAAGCCCTTAGGGGCGCCTCAGTGGGAACGAGGGGCGCCTGTTAGGTCTAAAGAGGCGCCTTTGATGCCTATGAAACCTAAGGGGACGTCTCTATGCTAAAAAGGGGCGCCTGTGTAGGCTGAGAGTCGTTTGTGTAACGTTTCTCAGGGACGGTGTGCCGTTTGCGGCAAACAGAATCGAAAAAGAGTTCGGAGGGGAGTGCCTTCGTCGCCCTCGTCGCTTGAAACTGGTGCATTCATTGCTGATAAGTTATTCACCGCTGACGTGACACATTGATGTTGGATAGGATGTTTGCCCTGTAATCGCTATTATTATTGCGGGTATCCCTGCCATTTGCCAAGCAGAGATGTGGTCAAGGCCCAAATGAATATTGCTTGGGGGAGGGGGAGGGGCATGGTTTTGAGATCGTCTTGTTGTTTAGAAAGGCTGTTGATGTTGTTCAGGAAGATGTGGGTAACGACGTCACATCCCAGTGCAGTTTGTGCGGTAGTATACGAAGGAAATATTGATCCTGATGGTAGTGACAGACGAGTTCCTGCAGACCTGCTGCTTGGTACGTGCACCTGATAATGCTGCGTACGCCGCGACTGATGCAGACACTGGATTAGAGTGGGCTCCGCCATGAATTGGCGCTTGCATTGTACTTATGCGGCTGTCACTAGTACATATAGTCATCTGTGGCAAGGGGCGCGTGGCGCTCTGCCCGGAGACGTACATTGAGAAGCATAACGGCTAGAGCCTAGAAGCATGACGTGTTGACTGCTGCAACGTGTGCCTCAGCGCAACCAGCACTGCACAATCCGGCTGAAGTCCATTTTTGAAGATCTGTCTCGTTGATTGCTGGATTAGATTTGGTAGGTAGGTATAGCGCGTGTCTTTCAGTGCATGAACCGTAAGCACAGACTGTGCTGGATCTTGACTATGGGCTTCATGTTTATTTTCATAATTTTGAAAGAAATTATAAAACAGATTGTAGGGTGGTTGCTGGTAATGGCTTTTAGAAAACCGTTTGTTTTGTCATTTGTATAAAGATATTTGTGCATTTTAGGAAAGTAAACAACTCTACAAGCCTTGAAACCTGGGCTGCAGAATCGGAATCGGGAGTCAGTCGGAGTCGATATCTTTAACTGAAGTCGGAGTCAGAGTCGGAGTCGATTGTGGAAGCCGAAGCCGGAGTTCGAGTCGCCGAAAATCCCGCGACTCTGCAGATATACCAGGGCTGCGGAGATGGAGCAGGAGTTAGAGTCGGTCGGAGTCGACAATCATGCCTGGAGTCGGAGTCAGAGTCGGAGTCGAAATGTAAAAGTCTGAATTGGAGTCAGAGTCTGTCACTGAAAATCCATCAACTCCGCATCCTTGCTTGAAACAGCACAGTTTTTCATTAGACTGACCCACCACCAGGTGAATAATAGCATTGACGTTTATGGCAGTTAGGCATAGCATGCAGTAATGACGTCATAATCTGACAACTTGAAAAAACATAAGCGGCGAGCGTTTCCCATAATGTTGCCGATCAGTATGTCGTCTAATATTCCAATTTTCACGAATGAGCTGCAAAGTCTTCTTGGCAACATATCTTGTATGCTGCTAAAATGCATGTTTTTGAGAAAAAATGATATCACTAACGCCCAGTGGTACCAAAAGGTACCACTTCAAAAAAGGATATTTCTAGAATTCGCACATTTACCAAACTCGCATGGTACCCTTAGGGGACCATTACCTCTAAGTCGGCAAATGGGCATTCGTGTGCGTTCGCTGGGGAATTACGGGCGTTAATGGGTTAAGCTGTTATCCCGTCTCCGTCTCCGTCTGACCGTCTCTCCTTGCGCCCGTCCACAGCTGAAGGAGATGTTCCCGGCCATGGATGACGAGATCATCCGCTCTGTGCTGGAGCAGCGCGGCGGCGATAAGGGCGCCGCCACCACCAGTCTCCTGGAGCTCACCGAGACGTAGTGGGGCGCTGCCGCCGGCCCGGCCACGTCTGTGTGTCTGTCTGTGTGTGGCCGGGGCTGTGAGGTCGGGGTGAGCCGGTCGTCCCATATCGCCCGGTGTTTCCTCTTCAGAGCGGGGCTGAGTGACTGCCGTGGTGAGCTCGATGGGAGTTATTGAGCTCACTGAGGGTGCGATTCAGAGTATGCACATTGCACAGCGGTTTAAGTAACGCCGCTGTACCGCGGTGTATGTCTTACTCGGAGCTTATTGGACGTCCTGACGTTCGTTTGTGTCGAAATCTCCCCGGGCTGCTATGCCTCGATGTGGCTTCTCATGATCCACGCCTTGCTACTCCGCTTTTTAAACCACCTCTGACCTCGCTTGGTCACTAAACTGCGTAGTGCGTAGTGTACTTAATGCGCACCTTTTCTTGCCTTCAATTTCTACCCAAGATACCGCTGATGTTCAGAGTTGTTTGAAGTTTGTTGGCTTGGAATGTGCTGTGGTTTTCTTCTTATTTTGTCATTTCAAACTAGCTGTCCGTTTTACGAATCGGACATGATCGTCACGATTGAACGAAGCGTGCGTCTCTCAAACCACCCCTCTGACGCTGCTCTGGATGCCCGAGTCTCGCTCTTGTAACGCCCAATGACCCGGGCGGACTGCCAGCCGGCCGGCCACTAACCCCAGCCTGTAACTGCACTGTTACCTCCCGCCCCGCACGCCATGCTTTGTGATGGGTTTCTGTAGGGGCCAGACGCCTCAGTGAGTTTATCCCACTGTGAGCCGCGCGTTCTAATTGTTTATTGGTTTGAATCAAAATGGATATGTTATATTCATACATCGAGGAGGCATCTATAGACGCTATTTTTGTATCTGTGATTATCATGGGCGGCTGTTGTGTTCAACGCTCGGCTAACTGCTGTAAATAGTGCTTCAGAGTCGTGTACGTATATTCACAAGTATAATAAATTTGCACGTAAGAGCCATTATTTTTCTGACCTTTGAGGACAAGTGAAGTATTAACAGTTAGATACGTATGCTCAGCTGTATATCGCTCGCTTATATACTTCATACGGACCTCTAGGGCTTCTTTTAAAAACCACGGGACCTCACTTTTCCGCACCAACGCATTTTTACTGGTGATCCGTCCTGCCGACACTCCGACCCGAGGTTCTTGTCCAGCTGCTGCCGACGCGGCAGGACGCTGTTACCTGTTGCCCTCGCCTGTTTCCACCCGGCGACTGGGAACAGGCTATCGTCTGGGCGTGTTCCGGTCGGGTCAGAGCCCGGAGGTCACACCGTCTGACCGCCGGGGTCACCTGTATGACCGCCGGGGTCACGAGACGTCTGCACCGCCCCACCACCCCTCTCACGAACGAGGAATGAAAGCGGGCGCCGAGAGCTGGCCTGACGCCCGGATCGAATGCTTGTTGAGCGGTGTAAATGCTGGGTCAGAGTGGTAGAGCAGGGCATGACGTTGCAACATTGGTAACGCTGATGACCATTTCATGATGCCACGTTTTTGCCACAACATCCACTCGCTGATAAGACAACTGTCATTCAAGGTTTTCGCATCAAATTGCTAATTAGATGTGTCATACGTGACTGAAATGTCAGCCTTCTTGCTACATGTTTGGGTAAATAGACCGACTTTGTGATCTGACCTAGACTTCGACGGTTGACCTTCGCTCAACTGACCTTTGCTTGAACTTGGCACTTAGGTTATGATGATCTTTGTATTTACGACTGGATGAGCTTATGACAACAGATCCCTCAGCAGTCAGCGTAACGTTTCGAAACCACTTACTGCAGCTAGTCTCTTATTTCGGTTATTTGACCTGACCTTGACCCGAACTTCAACTCAAAAATTATTTTAGACCGAAGGAGCATAAACCATCAAGTAATATTTTGATAGCTCCACCATGCACAGGATCTTTCAAACTCTAGCTTCGTGGCGCACCTGCTCATAATCTTGCGTCAGTTCTGGCCCTGTTAGCTCAGACACCTGTTTATTCAGAGTCCACGACCTCCCACCCCTGTCCTCGAAGGAGCCGTGTGTACCGTGAAAGGCACCGCCCCCCCCCCCCCCAGCCCCCTCACGTGTGTCCTGTTCTTCAATCATCCTTAGTGCTCATCCACGGGACTAGTGAGCCCACGAACACGACAGTACCGACCGTGATTGGTTTATAATTGCCGGGTCAGTGGGCCGCGACTGGGCACACCTGTCGGTGGGTCGTCTGCCTCAGGCTCAGATCCTGAAGTTAGCCCGTGGGTGAGCCGTGTAGTGACAGCAGTGGTAGGCCTACAATATCGTCATACGGATGAGATTATCGACAATACTAAAAAAAATAAAGCTTCAGAGCTCTTAAACTTGACTTCCTTTTCACTTAGAAATGTGTCGTGACACACTTAAGTATTTAGAGACCGCCTTGCTGCTTTAGCCCATTACTGTTTTATTTCGGCGTGTCTCGGTCTGCGCGGCACGCCTTTCCCGTTAGTCTCATTACAGCCGGCTACTGTAATGAGCCCCCACCATGCATCATAGCCACAGGAGAACGATGAAAGTAATGAAGCCTGCTGTTTCACCGGTAACCCGAGAAACCACCCTAACGAGCAGCATGAGCGGTGCGGGCTCCCTCACGTCCGTTCTCTCGGGGGACGGTAATGCACAGACTGTCGGCGCTATGCGTAGTTATCCGTTCAGTTCGTTCACTATTAACCCGCGCCCCGTTGGGCTCTGCCGAGCAACGCGCCCGGTTGGGGGGGGGCCATTTTGGCCCCCCCCCTAAGATCTCGAGAACCACGCAACATAGCGACAAGCGGTAAACGGCGTTGGATAGCCCCAACGGGGAACTACCTTGTGACCCAATTTTATTGACCTAGGTCAAACCGATGACGTCACAGGTCAGGTCAAAGGTCCAATTTTCACCGTTTACAGGCACTTCAAGAAATGCGTTGTAAAATCGAGTAAAATGCATTTCATTGAAAATCATCGATGGGGAAATGTTCTTCAAACACATATTTTGCTATTTGAGGTCACTGATACCAGGTCAGGTCACAGAGGTCAGGTCACGGGGGGATCACAATATGAAAGTGTCGTGTGATACATGTTTTATGGTCCATTTTACATGACAAATGCGATCATATGGGTCAGGCAGCCTTTGGGGCCAGCTTAGATCACGTTTTGGTCAAGGTCAGGTCAAGGTCAGGTCAAAGTCAGGTCAAATTAGGTCAAATTTCAAAGTTAATATTTTTGCATAAAATGGGTATCGAATCGATGCAGCTCGTCACGGGGAGTTCAATGGTGGTCCTTGTTTTGCCGTACGTGGTCTAGAATTGCTAAAAATTGAGTTCAAAAATTTGACGTCATCATTTTTGAACAGTTTTTTCGCTATAACTTGGCCAAAAAACGAGATATCGATCTGAAATTTGGTATGTATATAGAAGAGCGCTGGGACTATCACATATATTCCGGTTTTTTTCGAAATTCGGAAAATTTTTGGATTTTTTTAAAGTTTTTCTAAAAAAATCAATTTTTTGAATTTTTTTTTGGTCAAAAACCAAAAATTTTGAAAATCCGAGATAGCAGTTTTTTAGCGCCGCTTTTTGTCTACTAGACCATATAAAGAACTTTGAAATTGATTGATAACTGTAGATTTGGTGAGCGTTTCAAGATTGCATGTTTTTTGCTCATTTTTGCTCGAACATGACCTCAGTTTGACCTCAATAACTCCTGACCTAAGGTGACCTAAGACTTGAAATTTGGTGTGAAGGTGTCAAATTGATGCCCGGGAAGGTACTGAAAATTTGGCGGCGCTGCGCGCCGCCGTTTTCTTGCTATTCAGGAAAAACCACAGGGGGGGGGCCAAAATGGCCCCCCCCCCAACGGGGCGAGGGTTAACTAGTGAGCAGTGAGCACTTATCATGGCAGCTGTCCCTCACTTTATCGGTGAATGGAGCGTAAGCATTAGGTATGCCTGGGTCGCTCAGTGAATCCGCCGCCAAAAACTTGACGCGAGATATACTGATATGTCCAACTTTTCCACATTTCATGGCTCATGCATTCTCAAATGTCCAGTGGATGTTTACGTTTAGTCAGCCCCATGGAGGTTTATTCAAAGCTCATCGACCTCTGGCATGCTTGACCGCCTTACCGCGCACCTGTCCAGCTCGGGCCGACCTTGTGACTGAGGTCTAGGGGCTCTCGACCGTGGGGCCACTCGTGCCTTCGAGTAGGCCGACGCGACGGCGGGCTCTCCTTCGCTCAAGCGTGCTACTCAGCTGGGACTCAAGCGCTGACACATGCGATTCATGTTGGGGTAGTGGGTAAAAGAAGCATCGTTCTGTGGGTGACATACAATGCCGGCAGGGTCATCGAGTCTATGAGCTGTACAGTGTACATTACGTAACGAGTGTATTCTTATAATCACGGGAACTTACATTCATTCACGGGTATCACATCTTCCGTATTATAAGGTTTTATCCATCCCTCAACCCTACCCTCCCCACCTCTTCTCCCCAACCACCACACCGGCATATCAACCAGCCGGTGGTATGGTGTAACGCCGGCGCCGGGCCGTCCGATGACGCGGCACGTCATCAGACCCCCAGGCGTCATCCGGCAGCGGCGGCGGCTCTCGGTGACGGCCCGACGGCAAACACGGCTGCCCAGCGCCTATAAATGGTCTGCGTTTGCACAAGACATCTCGCGCTGCCATCGACGCCGTGCGGGCGAGGATAGCTAGGTAAATCCGTGTTGAGGTGCCTACTCAACTCGTTTTCAGCTAGCTCATATCAAATGAAGTGGCTGTACGGCCAATGCCAGTAATTGTCCCGAGTGCTGTTCGTCCTGCGAAGCGTTAACCCTCGCCCGCACATGCCATTTTCCCATCCTAGAACGCACATGGGGGGGGGGGTTGCCACCCCCCCCCCCCGCGCCATTTCGTTCCTGTTGGAGATAGAGCTTAGCGGTAAAGACCAAAAAGATTCTTTGGGAAGAGCCGAATCCAATGATATCCAGTTTTACCTGCTCAGGTCAGTCATTGACCTTCCAGGTCAGGTCAAACTAAAAAATGTTGCTGTTTTGGGTCACCGTTGGATATCAAGTGCGCTGCTTATCATATACCGATGACAACATGTTCCATGATAGGTGGGAGGTAAGACTGGCAAAAAAGGCCGAAATCAAGGTGTCAAAAGCTCACAAGGCCCATAGCCAACGCAAGATCTTGAGAATTGGCCATTTGGGTCATGACATGACCTGAAAAACAAGGTCATATCTCCGAAACCAAAAACCACAGAAACTTGAAATTTTCAGTGAACATCAAGAAAGGATAGAGGAGCAGCTATACGAAAAATCAGCCTTCTAGCTCAAAAAATGTTGAGTGCAGGGCAGAAAGACTACCTGGGGGGTGGCAACCCCCCCCCATGTGCGGGCGAGGGTTAACCCGCGACCGCCTGGGGGGGGGGGGTCGGATCCGACCCCCCCTCCGATTTTCTTGAATAACTCATGAACCACTTTCGCTATCTACTTGAAACTTGGCATACCTTCTCCCCCATCAATTTGACGTCTCCTGTGCAATTTTTAAGAAAAAATTTCCAAAAAGTTTTGAGATATATCGATTTTAGTGATGTAACTACGTGGCGTTTTTAGTCAAAAAGTGGTAAATGTTTAAAAAATCGCCAAAAATCAGGGTTTGAAGCAAATTGCAAATTAAGGACATCAAAAGACGCAGCTCAACGAGTTCTTTAAAATGGCTATCTCGGATTTTCCATAAAATGCGTTTTTCACCCCTAAAAATTCAAAAAACTATATTTTTTGGAAAACAGCTAATAAAATCCAAAATTTTGGAAATTTCCAAAAAACCGGAATACATGTTGTAGAGCTCTATTAGAACATTAGATGCCCCAAATTTCAACTTTCTATCTTGATTTTTGACCCCCAAATTGTAAAAAATAGCTCCAACATGCATAGGGCATGGTGACGTCATAAGCATTTTCGTGAATTAGAGGCACTTCTGAACATCGCATGTGAAAACAAATGGCACCACTAGATTCCTGGGACAAAGCTCGTCTAGAAAAGTGCATTTTTATGTCAAAAATAAAAAGTTGAAAAATTGACCTTTTTTCTTAGCCCTCGTTTAGTTATGTATAGTATAAACGATTTTTTATGCTTTCAATGCACACTTATCACCAGCACAGTGACTTGGGGTCACATATAACCATTACCATCGGATTCGGCGTGAAAAATAAGCCATAAAACATGTGTCGCACGCCCATGTAGCAGAAAGTGAAAACCGTGACCTTTCGTGACCTGACCTGACCTTGACCTGTACCTAGTATGACCCCTATACGCACATGGTACCTTCACTAGGCCTTTGAGGTCATTTTTGGTGAGTTTCGAGCAGCAGCTATCGATTCCGCTGTCCGTAAGCCGATCCATGCAAAACCCCTGAATTTGACCTTTGACCTGACCTTGACCCGAAAGTTGACCTCAATCTTAAAATCTTAAGAGTGCTTTGAGAAGGTCTCGTAGAGACCTTTCGAACGCCGCCTCGCGGGGCTCGATACGACCATTGGTTCTCGAGATAACAGGGGGGGGTCGGATCCGACCCCCCCCCCAGGCTGTCGTGGGTACGGAAATAGCCCAGGCGGTGCCGGGTTAATAAATGTCCGGTCAATCTTCATGCCTACTGCGTATAGTGCGTATACGTTACCTAAATAGGTGGTAGTTGGCGAGTTTTTTACGCACGATTGTCACCGTTCTATATAAAACACAGCCAGCGTAACATTCATTAAAACACTCTTAATTAATTATCGAACCTCAAATGCGAGTGAATCAGCCCTTTTACTTCGCCTCACCAGCATCTCACGAAGCGATATGTCTGCGCACGCACTAAGGGGCCATTATCAGAAGCTGCTCTCTGATGAATGACCTTGTTAATGAGACTCATTTCGATTTTTTCGTCGCCGCCGTATTTCGTTCACAGGACCCCGTTTCACACACAGAGCGAGACGAATCCTCGGTAATCGTCGATGGCGCAACGCGTTTGTCTGTTGTCGCAGTGCCCGTGTCATTAGCAAGGCACATGCGTGGTCGGCGAGCGCGTGAGAGGAGTCGACTGTTTATCACCCCCGCTGCCGTCTATTACAGAGACACGACCTGACGCAAGTCGGGGCGCGTCCGGCCGAGAGGGCCGCGCCGCCGGCGGACGAGGAGCTCTGTGATTTTACCGGCCGGCCGGCCACAAAAACCGGCGCCGGTGTGTTTGTGACTGCTCGGAGCGGCTGGGAACGGCGGGTTCCGCGCCAGTTCGCCGGCTAACTACTGCAGTACGACAGCGTCTTCATAAACGGGCCTGTCCTGTAATGGGCGCCCACCGCGCGTGTCGGATGATATCGCACGCTGAGATGCCGGTTTATCTTTCGGAGGGGAGAGCTCCAGGCATGTCATCGCCAGGCAAAAACGTCGGCTGGTAGGCAGAGGACGTCCCTCTGATGATGTCCGGAACAGCTCGGTCCTTTGTTGCGAGTGACGCGTCACAAATGGGTGCAGCGGAGAGGGTGGTGAAACACCCCTGGGTGTGCCGGGTCAGAGAGCCGCCGGTGGCGCTGCGACGCTATGGGATACCCTCATATCAGCGTCTGCTCGGGCCGGAGCCATCCGAACGGCCATCAAGTGCAGTAAACAGGGCAAGATGGACGGCCACCACGTCCGAGCGTTTTTATTGGGGCTGGAACGGGGCGTGAGCGCGGAGAGGAACGCGAGGGAGGGAGGAAAATAGAGGGAGAAAGTGTCGAAGGAGAGGGGATAGGAGAGGGACGAGAGATAATTAAAGGGACAGAAGGGCGTACCTACTACCTGAGAGAGGGAAGAGAAAGAAGTGTTTAACGTATAGGCTCATATCCAATATAGTTACGACTAAAAAGATGTGCGTGTAATACAAGCATGCCTTTGTGGCAATCTTCGTGCAAGCCTTCAAGCCTTCCTTCAAACGTTCAAATACAATGACCTTTAAGGTCAAATATTTTTAATAAGGTATATATTAGGGAATTTGAGATTCTGACCCTAGCTATCGAATGCGACCTTCAGAAATCGGAACGGACGATCGGTGTAGGAAAAATCGGGGACTCAATTTCAATCCGTGATTTGACCTTGAAGATGACCTTGAAATTTGAAATGAATACGATATTCGGAATCAGCGTCCCAAACTGCATCGGATAGGTTGAGTTTAGTTGAAATTCGGACTCGACGCTGAATCCGTCGCGGAATACGACGCTAACTTCACGCACGTCAAATACAAGCCTTCAAACACTCCAGTTTTAAACATTGAATGCATTGCATGCCTAAATTATGGAGTTTGGGCAGCTAACAGTTATATTAGGCCACACGACACGCGACGCGACATTCCTCGGAGCGCCGAGGGGCCTCATCACACCGTTTTGATGCAAGGTGAGCGTAGACTTCCTGATGTATTTCGTCTATTAACTTCATCTCCGGTTATCATCATTAAAGGGACCCTCCCACCTTCAAAAAAGTTTATGAATTGGCATGAAAGTGATGTCGCTCGGTTCAGAAAGAGCGAAAACGAATATCTACCAAATTTCACCGAAAAATATTCACCGGTTTTCAAGATATTAGACTTTTACTTTTGTTTACTTTTTTTGGGATCTCCGCTGTTTCTAGCGACTTTATTTTAGAAGTGCGGCGTTTGCGGCAGATGTTGCGCGCAAATAGCATATACCACCGCATGCTACAAAACGTTTTAGTCAAACATTAAAAAATCGTTAGATATTTGCGCTGACGTCACACATTCAGAGGGGTATTCCTAAGCATTAGCCCCTCTGAATCAAAATGCTGCAATTTTGAAATTCAATATTTCCGATTTAAGGCATTTCTCGATGTTGTGAGTGCCGAAACCGGTAATTGTGAGCCAGGGACCCCATTTTGGCTATCTCAACTCAAATCTAATGTTAAGGTGGGAGGGTCCCTTTAATGTAGTCAATCCTACAGGCCTGCAAGAGCAGCTTAACTGTGCGGGCGCGCGTGGCCTTTGATGTCATGGTATGAGGTAATCCGTGATCTTATTTTGGAGCCATATGCTCGATTAGAGCGAGTGGCCCCTTTCTACCGTCTCTCTGCTCTGTAACTGTCCAGTATGAGTTGTTGGACAACAGCAGGCGCTAGACAAAATAACTCCGAGATGAAGCTTCACAATCGGAGGTAATTTGATGAGGTCGTAGCCTTGCACGATGAATTTCGTAACCGGAATCAAAAGTGCGTCCACTTGGGACTAGAGCATGGAATCTGAATTGGACACAGGAATGTGCAATGCACATGCATGCTTTCACGTGCCTGAACAGTCAGCGAAATGGAGCTATCCAAATTAATCCTGTAATGATATCCTAATTTGATTATTAAATGCTGGGCTTCATTCAACAACCACTCCTGCAGTAGCCATGCTTATAATCGTACGTCAATTTCTTCAACAAAAGAAAAATCAAAGTACGCGGATTGTGTGGGGATAGGAGGAGTGGATATTTTTAGAGTTTATTCACACAGTTGGGGATAGGGCCGATAATACCGCCGACTGCTTTAACAGCCCTATCACTTTAGGGTGCCGTAAGGTGGTTCAGTACGTCATGTGACCTTCTCGACCCTAGATCAGCATAAGGTGAGATTTCGGCCTCATTGTTCACAGACGTCCGGGTGTAATTTGGTGAGACTTAAGGGATCAGGTGGCCGACAAATTGTCTGCACAGCGAAGGCCTGATTTTCTGAAATGGATAACATATGTACATGTATTAGCAGACACAGTATAGGTACCTATACAAATACCTATCGGTGTTCACTGGCGGTCCCAGGGGGGGGCACGGGGGCCATGGCCCCCCCTTTGGTGCTGAAAGGTGGGGCCATACTATCTTTTGGCCCCACCTTTCAGATCGAACAAAAGTCCTAGAAAAGCTTTTCGTATGTTTCATTTTCTTTCTTGCGCCATCAAAGGACGTAAATTTCACTCATGAGGGCTCAGTTTCGCATTCTGTCAATTTGGTGGTCAGCGTCGCTGGCACCGGTTCACGAGTATGGCCGGATCTTATATGGAATATCAGCGTGGGTTTACTTGAGGCTCTCGTAGGCCCAGCAATGGCTGGCATGAGACCCTCTTCGGCAGTGGTGGGTGGGCCCTGCTAAAGGAGATTGGCTCTAAGACACTAAAGTAAGACCTCATGGGTTGGTGCTGTGCACCTCAGAAGCCCGGTGGTGACGCCGTATGCCGGCTTGGTTTCTTAAGGATTAGCGTGGGAACTCCGGGGCCTGCATAGAGTTTGCATGAGCTAGTATGTAATCTCAGAGGCATGTGTGTAATGTGTACACAGTGGCGGTCGCGGGGGGGGGAGGGGCATCAGGGCCATGACCCCCCCCCCAAGGTCAATAAAGGGGGCCATCATATCATTTGCCCCCCCCCCCTCAAACAACCAATGGGCCCCCATATAGGTGTATGGGGCCCTGGCAATTATTCGATCGTCACGAAGCTCAAAAAAAACCCACGCCCAGCTATTAATATAGCTCCCACACCGGTCTTTGAGCGTCCTACACTGACCTCTGAGGGAACTTCAGTGGCGGTCAAGTGCCCACGTTGACCGCTAAGAGCCTACATCAACCTCTGAGACCCCACATCTGGCCTATGAGGGCCCCTAACAGGCCTCAGGGGTCCCAACCGGCGTCTGAGGGTCTCACACCGGTCTCTGGTGGCCTTATTTCTGTCTGTGGTGTCCCAAGACGAACCTTAAGGTGCCAATGAGGGCCCCGCACTGGCTGCTGAAGACCCGATGCCGGCCTCTAAGGGCCTGCATTGGCATTTGAGGAGGGCCCATCTTGGCCTTTGAGGGCCCTCTGCTGGCCTCTGGGGTCCAACGACGGCTCATGCCGGTCTTTTAGGGCCCCACGCTGACCTCTGAGGGCCCATGTTGGCCTGTAATAACCCACATTAGCCTCTGAGAGCCCAACTCGGTCACTGATTGCCTCAAACTACTGGCCTTTGTAGTTTGCAGGCCCTGTACTGGTCTCTGAGGGCCCTAAACTGGCCTCTACGTGAAAACATATATGGGTGGGTTTCTGAAGATCAGAGGGCTCACGCAGTCTCCGGCACAGCCTTACGTTGGTCCTGATCGAGATTACTTTGCGTCCTGATGGTCCGGCGCAGATTCCCTCATATTTCGACGTCGGGACCCCATGAGCCGGCGTGGGTCCTGGGGCTGGCAGAGACTGATGAAGTCCTTAGGGCTCAGGGCCAGTCTTTTTAGCAGTAAGACTAGGCAGGTTGAGTGAGCCCCAATAGAGCCGCTGCGAAGCCCCGCAGGAGTCGCGCGCGGCCCTCAGATGCCAATTTTGAAAGCTCGGAACCTGTGGGGGGTCTCCAGAGGTCGGTCGGTGTACCTACTCTCTCCCGCCGCCACACAACTAGGTATGTTACCTATATGAGTAAATGTCATAGTCTGAAAATGGTCTCTGGGTTTCACATGCTTGTTCAAAGCAAGAGGTATCTGTACTTTTCCGAATTGTTTTATAGTGGTAAGGTCATGAATCCGCGTGCCTGACCTTCCAGTATACCTATGCTACAGGGTTGGGCAGATAAATTGGGACAAAATACATATTTGCATTCAGAACGCCGTAGCTTAGAAATTTGTAAACGTAGGCATTTCAAATTTGGATCACATATTGTCACACCAATTTTACACATTTATCACCAAATATGATCACTGTGGTCCACCTGCATCAGTCCTTATCGGTGCCTGGACTGGCCGCACGCGCGGCGAGATCTCCCTTCTGAAATGGCTCGTAATTGTAGCCAACTGGCACTGCTGAGACTCACCACAGTCACATGGGGACGTTCGTTAGACTCGGCCGCAAAAACGCCCCAGCAACCAGAACTTGTGTGGGCTGAGGTTTAATGAGGGAGGGGCCATTTAGCCTTGGGTACAGTTTCCGGGATCCTCCGTTTCAGGAGATTTTGTATTTAATTTACTGTATGCCGGGGAGCTGACTCCTCGAAGAGCATCACTCCATGCAGGATGATGCCTTCTTCCATCTTGTTGATTCGAACTGCCGGAATAATGGTTAGGTACGCTGTAAGGGCGAACCTCCTCCCGATTCCGTAAAATAAGGGGCCCCACGTGGCCGTCAGAAGTCACCGAGTGGAATGCCATCACCGAGGTCTGCTGCATGCTTTTTGGAACTAAGATCACGTCTTCTGGGCTGGTTGCGATGTTTCATGGTGTTTGCGGTTGTTCATATGTTCGGTTATGGGGATACCATCGTCGAAAAAGACCTGCACGTGCTTGCTCGCTTCTCCAAAGCCCTTTAAGAGGAAACAATCTTTTTAACGTCACAGCTGCTTCAACATCTATGTTAACAGGTCGATATGCATCAATGCATAAGAGTACATGTTTGAGGTGCTGGTATATCGCTTTCTCATGGCGCGGCTACCTTCGTTGTAAGCTCGCGCCACTGTTTTCGCGAGGATCCTCTGATTTAACTGAATTTTTCCTTTTAGCCCCCCTGGAAAACCGGGGGAGCGGCAGGTGTCAATGCAATAAGTATGTAAGGATGAGTCAACATCTTCTCTTCCTCCAACGTTTACGTCTGTTCGATACACACTACTTTCAGCCATTTGATGGAGCATAATTAGAGTATTGGCACGCATGTGGGCGCGGACTAAGTTGATAGTGACTTGCTTAAGCCCACGTTCTGTGATCAGCCGATTCAAAATTACAACGCAACCTGCATAACATCGAAAAGTATTCATTAGCCCATATTTACGTTCAAAAATTATCTTAATCACTCAAAAAATAGTCGTTTTAGAGGAAGTTGAAATTTGTCCCAATTTATCTGCCCAACCCTGTACACCGATCCGTCGTCATGGTGCAGTGGGCCGACCGGTGGAAGCACCGTGGGACGGGAAATGGAACTGGTGATTTTGCCTTAAATTGAGCTTAAAAATTTCACGCAAGAATCAGATGGATGAAGCATAAGTAATGCCAACTGCGCGGCACCTCGTGGACGTAAAAAATTAGCCGATCACCCCCCCCCCCTCCCGGTGACGGATAAATGTTATGTCCCGCGAGTATGACTTTGGCCCCCCCCCCCCCTTTTGCTAGCGGCTGCGACCGCCAGTGTCGGTGTTTCCATAGATAACATGAATCATGCTCTCTATGGTGTTTCATATCGTGTTAAAAGTCGTAACACCGACTTCAACTCCATCAACAGCAACCTGTCCGGCACCTCGCGCACCATGGTGGACTGGCTGGACGACAGCGACCGGACGACAGAGCGGAGCGCTCTCACCGGCCGCCACAAGAAGTTCACGCCGCTCGTCAGTATCGCGCCGTTCTCGTCGGGACCGCGGTCCAGCGGCGGCGTGAAGGTGAACCTGGTGGCGCCCATGAAGAACGGGGAGATCATTACGGAGAGCCGCAACAAGTTCGAGATGGTCGAAAAGCGATCCGCCGCCGATCCGATGACGAAGAAGATAGCAGAGAAGATAACTCGTCTCGACGATCTGATCGATGAGAAGCCCAAGAAGTTGGAGGAAAGGACAACCACCAGCGTTGAGATCACTAGCGCCGACTCTGAGCGGAGCCCTATCGTGTAAAAAAATTACCTTCTTATATGCTTATCAATAGCCTTCCGGATAAATGATGCTGTCAAAAAAGTAAACTCAAATTAATCAAATTCAGCATTTAAGTTGAATTTATCTAGTTCTTTGTGTTGCGTGAGTGGCATACTATATTTGTTTATTTATATTTCGAACAGCTATCTGAGTAGCCGATTTGGTAATAGATAGACGTGAACAAATTGAATGATAAATGAGACGCATGATCGAACCTAGAGCCTGATAACATATCGGCGATAATTTATCGCCGATAAATGCCTGATGTGTTATACCAGACACGAACTGGAAAGGGTTGCCTCTTCTGACATTGAAACGTGCTGTGAGTGAAAGTTTCCCGTGCCATACGGCCTATTTGTAAGCTGGTTGATGACGTAAACAATTATGCGCCAGAGAACTACACTGAAGTGACTAGTAACCGATAAATGTGACGAATTAGGATCAGAAACGGCGATGCGTCTTGCTTAGGAGCACCCCTAGGATCTCGTGGCACCCCCGAAAGCCTCTTTTCTCGAACTGCAACTGATGTGTTCTCCTTCACGATGCTCGTGTATTTCCAACAAATGACCTGGATGACTAACTACTACAGTTACAGATGCTCAGAAATCTACAAAAACCTCAATACCGCACTTTTAACAACATACCAAGACCCATAAAATAAAAAAAATAAACAAATTTACACATATCCGTCAGCGCCGGCAGTCAGCCGATGTGTTAACGCGCACCTGTCTGACGCTGGTTTCAGCTGCAGCCTTGACACCCACATTTCTGTCGCCTCGTCGCCTCGTTTGCCTCAGAGCAGACGGCGCTGTGCGGCGCCGGATCTCATCTGTCTGACACCTGTCACATGGGACGACGACAGGTCGCAGCAGTACTGCCCGGACGCTCCAAAGACGGCGGGTCTGGCGCGTCTTTCCGGTTGGGTGGGTGTGTCCGTCACCTCTCTGAGACAGTGGGAGAAGGGGAGCAGCTGCTGACGAATTGCGAGTGGTGAGGACGGGAGCTAAGGGTGCTGGATGTGTGCTAACAGGCGATGTGTGAGGCGATAACGAGTGCGTAAGTGGTGATAGACCACTGACATGTTTAGGTATTGTGTAATTCGATGCATACATCGAATTATTTAAATGGAATGATTAACTATTCTTATACATAAGCGCCATATATGCAGTTAGATTGTCACCGTTGGGGCAAAGGTAATTAATCAGAAAATACTTGACGCATATATTATAAATATAACATTAAGCGAGTAAATGGAAGAAGAGAGGCAAAGAGAAGGACGGTCGGAGTGTATGTAGTTGGTCGCTTACATTGGTCACTAAGTGATAAAAGTTCGCCGACATTCACATGTCACAATACTTCCTGGATGACAACAAAAAATATGTCAGGTCAGTGGACGGTCCTTTGGTGAAAATGACCTTACTTACCAAACCAATATAAAGCCGAAGTGATCAATAACACCAACACTACATTCAACCGCAGCCATTATGTGAGAGTCTCTGTGAATGCGTTGTCGATCGATAATTTGGGTCCGCTCACGTTACCTTTCCCACACACTCGGTCACCGTGTCTTCGGACATCGTTCTGGGAGACATCCCGCGACAATTTTGACGGGCGGCACGGACGACAATTTCCGGGTTCACGGGCTTACTTTCAGTCGAGGAGGGTGCAGTGGGGAAATATGGCCGCCGTGAATAATCGTGTCTGGCTTGTTTCTGTTATGGAAGACATTCTTTGATTTCTCTGCATTTGAAAACAGATGACCGAACAGATTTTGAAATCGCCATGTTTGTCAATGGTCAAAAACGAATAGTTGTGTCCCGCTTTTAGCTTTATATCAAGCTTTGGCCGTTTAAAATATGCTTTTCTAAAGCAGTGATGATAGCACTTATTAAATTTCCTTTCTATTTGCAATGTATCAACTGTTTGTAGGTACTGTCACACTTTGACCCTACCTTTTCCCATTTATTCAGGAATCTCACGGCTCTCCTCTGTCGCAACATGTGCACTAGCCGCGCCAACGAAGGTGAGTTTCCTTTGTAAGTCGCCGAGACGTTTCACAAGTCATTAGCATAGGTCTTGGCTCGTGCCTGGGCTCGGCTCGTCTCTAGCCGGCGGCCTGTGTTCACTCATACCGCGCGGTGTCAACTTTGGTCCGATGACGTCATGACAAGGGTGCGCTGTCTGCAGAGACGGAGCACTCGGAATACAATCGAGCGACCTGTGGTCTGCCGTGTTAAGAGTCGCTGGTTTTGAAGAAGCCATCGGTAGGATGAAAGGTGACGTCCCTCGATCCGTTTAGTGAGACCACCCACAGAAGAGTAGGCGGGCTGAGCCGGATAATTTCTGCCAAAGGTGACATCTGTCTGTTTATTGAATCCCTGGTCACGAGGATCACTAAAACAAATAATCCGTGCCCACACCCTGTCACTTTCCATTTCCAATTGGCTAATGCCGTGCTGACTAAGTGATTAATTAGGACCTGTCAATGCCTTTCGTGTTCCAATGTTTGTCCTGAGAGACTGTTTCCCAATGCACCAGCTTCGCATAAGTCAATAGTGAAGATGGAGCAATGAGTGTTAAGAACGTCATGTTTCAATCGGAGCCATGGGGATTGTTTATCACTAACTATGAACGAAGTTGTTTTTACTACAATTAGTCGTCCTTGTGTGTGTGCGTGTTTTTTTTTTTATTCATCAGTTTCCTGTCGTAAAGTCTTAACTGATTTTTTTTCTTAAGTTTACCCAAAAGTCAGCCAAAAAGAATGTTTCCGAGAAAACTACAGGAAAGCTATCTGAATTAATGACATTATGGCGCAATATTCCAAAAGTTATGGAGTAAAACCCTGCATAAATGAACGGCTCACAAACTATGTATATTGGTAACCGCCGGTAGCCGCTGCTAATGGCTGTCATGCCGGTAATGGCCGAAGCCACTGTAATGGCCCGCGATCTGCTAATGGCTGAGAGTTCCCCGTACTGACTCAGGGCGCTGAGAGCCTACCCTGCAGCTCCCGCGCCGGGCTGGCTGTGACTGACGGTAAAAGTCGTGAGGAGTGCGGCTGTCCATGAGCATACTCGCACTTGGAGCTAGGTCCTTTGCTAGAGATTTACTTGGCAGTGATGGTTTTGGTCTTATTCCGCAGCGGCTTGTAAGGTTATCGAATGCATATTTATTTAAGCTTCAAAACAATATCACACTAGCAGAGGCATGGTGTGCTCCTGCACACCCGACTCTCGCCAAGGTAGTTCAGAAAGCGAGGAAAGAATAATATTCTTTATAATATAGACATATTATGTCTAAGGAAAAAGATCGCAAGAGTCGTAAAAACTTTGGCGAGCACAGGAGTGGACCACTCGAGCACCCGATTTGTAATATTGATACTCCTATGACAGAGAATAAAAACTAAACCACTTTGATTTTTGTCATTCGAATTGTTGCTCTCTTCCACGCCTGTGTCGAATTTCGACTAAGGCTCCCCATTACTTAGAGTGTTGGAAGGAAGCACTTTGACCTAATTTAGAACAAGAAAGTTGAACATGTTAACAAGCAAACAAAAATTATTTAAAGGGACCCTAATATGGTACACATTTCATATATTGCATGAATGATGAATCATACGGCAGGTAAGTGTTTTACGGCAGTCAGTCAGTACCTATACTTTTATATGTCAGCCTGCAAGTCGGTTCCTTTGTTTTGCACTGGGGCTTTAGTGATAGACGTTGGACAATGTAACGCTGCATACAGGAGTATCTCTGCCAGGCGGTGAGAATAGTGAAAGCATCTTCTGCTATGGGGAGAAGACTGGACGATTCACTATTGGAAGGTGTATCCTTGCAAATAAGCTCGAAACACTCCGTCCTGTCCGTCTTTCGTGACGATGAGATTTTCCCGTGAGGTTGAGAAACTTCAATCAGATACAGCTTGTAGCATTACTTGATGGCGTAAAAATGGTAAATAGCCTGTGAAATGGTGTTCAAATATTCACCGTCTTTCAAATATAGCGCTTGCTTATGTGTGATTCTAACGCTTTGACAGACGCTAAAGCAATGGATTGGAATGGAAGGGAAACTGGATTGCTCAGTGTAGCCGGGCTACATTACAGGCGATGTAAGCTGGAAGCAATGATGACCTTAAATATGTAAAGATAGACGAATGGCAATTGATTTCAAAAGCAGCCACTGTGTACCGTACATCCTACACTTCCCACTCTCTGGGCCACTGGGACGTTTGCCAACACCCGGGTTTCATGAGCAGGATCGAAAGTGGACACCGTTTTAGAAATTAGCACCACTCTGCAGAACCTCCTCCTTGTCCGCTAGGATCCCTTTCGATAGCCTCATCGATATTCCGCCGGTGGCACGGAAGCACAACAAACCCATCTGCAGCTCAGTGGGGAGACGGCACCGAGGAGCATGGGACGGCGCGGTCATTGGATGGCCTGCCGTCACCGAGACGGGGAGAGGGACAGCTCGAACCGGCCGGCAGGACCGTTAAAGCGCCGGGGAAAGGCTCGGGCGCGCTTTGCGTCACTGCCGGCTGGTCGCGGCACCGATAAGGCGGCGTCCCGTGGCGCCGGTCGCCCGAGAGGCGCGACTCGGCCCGACCCCTGACCTGGCGCGGGTCGCGGCACCGGCACGGTGCGTTACTCAGTGCCGGGAGAATGTGATGGAACAACCGGAGCTGCCGGCCCGCGCCAGAGATGCGGCCGGTGCGTGCCCGGTGCCGGGGCTGTAACAGGAGTTACAGCAGACAGTGAAACTGGCGATAGCACATGGACGAGAGGAAAAGGGAGATGTATACCCAGCATGTGTTCGACAGATACCTGTGAGCTCAGCCCGTTGCCTCACTTTGGCTTCTATTTGATTAAATCGTGGAATCATTCGTTTGTGTGGCCTTCGACCTGTTGTTCGTCTAAAACCATCTCCAAATTATCTTCAGCTCATCTCAAAGTCCTCTGGTTGCATTAGCGCGGCAGTTTATAATTGACTGCTGCTCATGCGAATAAAAGCATGGCTACTCCTAATAAAAACCGCATACGATAATTCACAGAACGACACGGCCTGAGGTTATATGAGGCTCTAAACACGCCACGCTTCCTCTCTAGGCCACCGAAAATACCCTGCAGCTCTGCCAAGCATGCTATTGGTGTAACTGTGTGCTGTTTAACTCACCTCACAGTTTAAACCAACTGCTGCAATAGCTCTCGATGCATGTTAACTATTGTTAATTGTATATCAAAGTAATTAATTCATTTCTTGAATGACGCTTTTCCTTAGCGTACCTTCCAACGGTATCACACAGGAAAAAATCAAAATGATGCGTGTATGTATCCATTTCCATTGCTGTATAAGTGTATAGTTATATTAGTATAATTACATACAGCAATTTCCGCTGGGCGCTGTCAGCCACATGGGTATGGTTTTATCTTACGATGCAAATCAATCCGTTATTTTGAAGGTTATATGATAGCAATTTATCAGGGGAAAATCATATTTCGGCTAAGACGTTGTGCTGCTCTAGGTAAGACCATTGTTAGACGCATACGTTACAGTGTGAAAAGTTAAATACGTGCGGGAAACGGGCTGCGAGCTAACCACACTGTGATAGTTAAGCAATCTAACGACATTCTTCGGCTTTCTCCTTCCCTAACACCTTCTGCGATTGGTATCACTTGTCCAACACCTGAGACATGTAAGCACTCACCGTACGGCCTGAAATCCATGTCTTCATTTACCCTGTCTCAGTGAGAAGCGAAAGGCAAAGATCGGAAGGTACTACAAGCTCCATGGCATTGTCAAAGTGGGGATATCGGCCAACAAGTCTCATATGTCACAGAGATTAATCGCCAGCAGTTGGGTCAAGCCTGTAACGGCCGCGCCGCAGCCCGGGAATATTCATGGTGTTTACCTTACGCGCGTTGAGGCGGTTGCGATTGCGCTTCCCCGGTCAGATGAACGAGGATGCCACTCAGTTGCCGCGGGTAGGAGCCGGCCCGCCTGCCACTGGCAGCGCGATAAAGATGTAGAGATAGTGGTTTATTGCGTTGTTGGCACCGGGAATGCTCTTTGAGCCACTGAAACGATGTGCGTGTTACGTGTTACGAGATGTTGAAAGACTGCAACGCCGCAAGGGGTAGTAACTGGAGAATGCATCGCAACATAGAAAAATAGCCTTCGAATGTGCACCGGTGTTTGTTGTGTGCCAGGTGGCTTTTGAAGTGATTTCGCTTATCTGAAGTATGATGAATTGATGCATATTTACACTTTACGAGTAAAATTCGCAGTCCACTGGTTTTGCGGTCCAAATGCACATACTCGTAAGCTCGTATGTGCATTTACAATTGTATTGGTAACCTTTAATGGAACATGTTAATGGCTTTGGGACGGAAGGAGCTGCGAGAACGACGTCTAGAAAACACGTTTCGCATGCACACATACTACACAGAAGCAAGCAACTTCAGCCGATTGCATAAATCTCATGTGTGAAATGAAGATCACCATTTGCCTACCTCACCATTACAGCGACATTATCTTATTACATTCGGTTTAGTAAATTTTGCTGCAATTATGGCTGTTACCTACCACAAGTGGATTGAGAAAAATGCTCATGTTATGCATTGACTCATATCAGTGAAAGTAAAGCATTTATTTGTTTCTTTATTTCAGTCACTCTTCAAGGTTAACGGGCTTCAACGCTCGCGGAATCAGCCTAATTGATCTGCGAGGAGCGCAAACGATCTAGTGTTTGAAATAATTAACACTGCTGCGCATCGTCGATCTTCCATAATAAATTCAATCATTTCACAACGTCCCGCCTAAGCATGCAAATCTGGGTTCATGACCTTCTTACCAAACCCGCCATGCTATCAAAGACTCTGACCGAGTTTGTTCTACCACCGAGCTCGAGAGCGAGTCATCCGATTGTCTCGCAGTCGTGGCGACCTTGCGGCGAATCACGGCTGCGTCGCACCATCCACCGTCTCCTGTGTTTGAAAGGCAACTGAAGCGTGCCCTCTCTGCTCCTTCCGGTAGTGGCTGCTGCCCGTGTGTCGTGGAGTCACCGCCGGCCGTCGGGGGTCAGGTCACGGGTCAGGCTGTTTCGCCACCGCGGCTGGCACGGCGGCAGGCCTGCAGCGGGGTCACTCGGTGCAGTATTGCAAGCACTGGGCTCCCAGACACGAGTCGAGACCGGAAGGGCGATATCCGCTGCTGTCAGCATTATATGTAATGGCGGTGTTTGTTGTTCCAAACTGAAGTGGCCCATTATCGTACGGAATGACGCTGGGGACACGAAATGCAATTAACTATATGTATGGAGCATACGGTTTACCCATATTCATACCGCCCCGCAAGACTCGATGCTGAAGTGTTGCGTTCGGGACCTTACGCGATATTATGTAAGACATCAAGTTATATGTAGATGTGTTGTTCCGTGAATATTTGAGAAATGACAAGTCGTTATCTGTTATCTGTACTACTGTTATCTGTGGACAAGTGGTAGATGCAGATATGCTATTAATTCATGGAAATAAGGAATTTAGATTTGACATGCGTATCACCATCTTTTCATCCAAGTTACTGTTCGCGTTTGGAAAACCATGGAGGAAAACTATTGAACATGTTTTAGGGAGACTTACAGATAAGCCTGGTTCTGAGCAGTGACACCGACCGTCGGCCAGGGTTCCGGTCGGATACATCGGTGGGTTTTTGTGGCAGTACCCAGTCGGCCCGCTGCGGACCGCCCAGAGCGGCCGGCCGCCCTCCCACGGGGTGTTCCTGGGTCAGGCCCCCATCAGTCTTCTCCGGGGTCAGGCGGCGCCGCCCCCTAGCCGCCGCCGTGGTCGCGCAGTGAAAGTGCCTCTTGCATGCCACGACCGTTCCGCCCGCTTAGTTATTCATCGTTAGAGCTCATCACTCGGCACACATGGTGACCAGCACGACCGTCTGAAGGCCACCCATCGCAATATCTGCGTCCAATCAATAGTCAACTGCTGTTGAAATGGTTCATCAAAAGTGACAGCGAAATAACCTAATGTGGAAGGTTGAAAGCGCGTGTTCAGGAGAAGCTATGGTCGAAGTTCTGAGTGAGCAACGCACGACACGTGTTTTTATCGGAACGCCGGTTGTGAGCAAGATACATTGAAGATGGCAGAAGATGCATATCTGTAAATTACTGGGGCAGCTATGGCAGCGTCAACTCTAAATGTATCGTATTGGAACTTAAGTCACATGTCTAGGAATGAACAAATAATGTTAAAACATGCACTTTGGTGCCTATAATAATATGAAGCGGGTATAATTACGTTGAACAAATTGCAATGACAAACAACTGCATGTCAATGCACAGTACCATTCCATTTTTTTATGTGGGCGAGGATGGATGACATGATTATTATTAATATAACGAGGCTTGAAATGATCTCACGCATGTCAAAGTGCTTTTATTTTAGGCAAAATAAATATCTAAAACAGTAAAACAAGCTTTCGGCATTACGCCATCATCAAGTTTGAATAAATTAACATGTTTTCGATTTTCAAAAGCTAGAGCACAATCATATTGTTCCAGGCATCCTCATAGCAGCTCACTTTTTTAAACGTATTGCAATACGTTGCAAATAGTGTGGTACATTGCACATGGCAAGTAAATAATGTACAACAATGTATCATTACGTACGCTACAACATGACATGCACACAATATATCATAGGTACAACAAGGTCAATAAATCTCATCTCAACATCAGCCGCATACATCATCAACACCCGGTTGCAGTAAACATTGACATTATAATCATATTGAAAAACATTGCCGCTGTTCTTAGCTCGATTCCAGTCAACCAGTCGTGAGTCGGGCAAGTCAGTTAGGTGCATGTGTACGTGTGCGTGTGCGTGGTAGAGTAAACATGTGAAACAAAGGGTAGAGATAAGTGAGTGAGTGTATAAGTTTGTGAGAGGGTGAGTGAGTGAGAGAGTGAGTGTGTGAGTGAGTGAGGGGTGAGTGAATGAGAGAGAAGTGTGTGTGTGTGTGTGTGTGCGTGTGTAAGCACTCACTTGTCAGGGCCGATGACGGGATACACACCGACCCGACAGGACCGATTTCCCTGTCAGGACCGAAAACCCGGTCCTGACAATTCCAAGACCGGGGCCATGTTCCTTGGCCTCTAAACATGCCCTAGGGCCATTTTGAGGTCGGTCCTGTTAAGTCGGTGTTCTGTCAATATGTGTGTAAAATGTGTGTGAAAATTGGCCGCCGTATACACTCTTCTGTCCGGTGGCGCCCCCTAATGAAGGGTCGGGCGGCCCATTGAAGCTGTGGTCCCTCCCGCGACCTCCCGCAGAGTCCAATTTGTTCCGGGTAGGGTGGCCGGGCAGGGTCGGGCCGAGCCGGGCAGTCGAAGTAATTAGCCGAGGAGCGAGTGGATAGTAGCGCTGGGTGTGCTGCTCAAGTTTCGCTGTAGTGACCAGCGGCACGGGCTGATGCTATCAGTGTTGGTAAAGACGAAATAAGAATAGCCTGATGATCGACCATACCTGACGTCACCTGACTCACCCTACCCAAAATGCCCAAATAATATATCATGGAACAAAACGATTGTGAAACAATTATGACAAAACGATTGTGACAAATAACAGAAGCGGTTGCGTGGCGTTTGATGTGGGTAAAAAGCAGGGATGCGGAGCCGTGAAAATTTCAGACGGCTCCGGCTCCAGAGAAAAAAATCGGCTCCGGCTCCGGCTCCGGGTGAAATGCGATGGCGACTCCGGCTCCGGCTTCGGCTCCGAGTAAAATGGTCCGGCTCCGGCTGCTCCGGCTCCGGCTCCGGCTCCAATACTAAGTACATCCCCTATGCAATTAAATACGGGTGGAAGAAACAAGATGATGGGTTTGGTGCGCGCTGCTTCTGTATTTGCATAACAAGGCTATTTTCATATTTTGACTACCGCATGTTTTACTGCCTTGAACTGTCAAACCGAACTAGGTCAATAATTTTTCCTCTTCAAAAAAAGGAGCCGGAGTCGCCCCCTTTTTCGACGGCTCCGGCTCCGGCTCCGGCTCCGGGCAAAATATGCCGGCTCCGGCGTCTCCGGCTCCGCACCCCTGGTAAAAAAGTATGAAAATAGTTTTGGTGACCTGAGATCAGAGGTCAGGTCAACGACCCTGAGCTGAGGTTTTGGTGTTTCGCAAATAACTAACAAAAATGGTCCGAGAGCTACAGTAGTGGTACTATCGCATTCGTCTTGTCAAGACGCGTCGAATGACATATATTTTGCATGGAAAAGTTCAAGTTTTATGTTGACCTCATGTGACCTCGAATGACCTTCTTTTTGCCTAGACACATGAATGGTAGCTTATATATGTTACAGGGAGTATGAGAAATCAGTTAGTTTGCAAACTACCTAGGGAGTTTGCAAACTCCCTGAACGATCAGGTAGTTTGCAAACTACCTACTATGGACGTCAAACCCCTTGAGACCCCACTTTTTTGCGATAATTTTTAAATGCGTCAACTCTCGTTGACAATATTCTGGCAATGTGTGTTTTAGAACCTGCCGAAACTTTTATTACTTAGGTATTTTGACGCCAAACGATTATGAAAGGTACTTCTCATTCACTCGTAATGTTAAATTTCACGGAACGAATCTGCTGTTTGGGTAGAGGCTACACGCTCATGGGGCGGAGCCACGCAATGACGTCAGCGCTAAGCTCCGCCCTACCCCTCCGGCGCTCCTTGCCCGGCGACCGGTCACTCGCGTCTCTCGCTCCATTCAGGCTTGATGGTGGGCGGTAGCTGGTAGCGGTAGCGGGCGCTGGTAGATGGCATTTAGAGCAGATGGCGCTGGTGGCGGGGCTCGAGTGTGGCCGAGCGCAAGCCTCTGCCCGGGCCTGAATTGACCTTAGCATTACGAGTGAATGAGAAGTACCTTCCATAATCGTTTGGCGTCAAAATACCTTAGTAATAAAAGTTTCGGCAGGTTCTGAAACATACATTGCCAGAATATTGTCAACGAAAGTTGACGCATTTAAAAATTATCGCAAAAAAGTGGGGTCTCAAGGGGTTTGACGTTCATAGTAGGTAGTTTGCAAAGTACCTGGTCGAACAGGTAGTTTGCAAACTCCCTAGGTAGTTTGCAAAGTCCCTAGTTAGTTTGCAAACTCCCTAGGGTTGTTGCAAACTACCTAGGTAAAATGCGAAAACGACGAAACAACAGCCATATACGAGTACATATGTAGATAAGACGCGATGAATTGGTCCATAGCTCAGAATGAAGCTTGGCAGCAATGGTGCATAACGAGACGATGTGATTGACGCTCTTTCGTAGCTTACTATTTATTTTTGTCTTGCTCGCAAATATCACCTTACAGATTAATGTCTGCCTTTTTTCTTGTAGTCGACAACATGTTACGTTGCCAATGCCATCCACCTCCTATCCTTGTACGTCAGCGGCCTCTCCTCCACCGGTCTGGCGTCCATCAGAAAGGGGATGACGCCGCCATGTTCGGCGAGAGAGTTATCGCCGCCAACGCTTCCTCCCACTCCCGGAACCTCTGATCGAGCAGTTCGTGAGACATCCCCACAGAACCACAGAGCAACCACAAAACAGAAACTGCGATCACTATGCTGCCTCTCCACACTCCGCTCAGAACTGATGACCCGCCAGCACTGTGCACCGTCCACCAGCCATGACTCAACAGCGCCTTTCATCCGTATCCCGCATGCACACACTGACCTGACCTGTCAAGCTCGGGGCAGTCGACTGCTGGCTACCAGGATCGGGTGGAAGCGGGGCGTTGGGTTGACTAAAGATGACATCCTGATTTCTAACCCGCACCCCGTAGGGGGGGGGGGGCGTGGCCGAAATGGCCCCCTGTCCTTTTCCGTCAATATCTCCTAAACGGCTGCAGATATCGCCACCAAAATTTCAGGATTTCTCCGGGCATCAATTTTACACATTTTACCCAAAATTTTCCAGAGGCTATGATAGGTTGGCCATAAATGACGTCAGAATGACGTTATGTTCTGCCATTTTCGACCGAAAAAAGTGCTTCGCGAGAAGAGCTGTCAGACCTACAGCTTTGAAGATATAGAAAAATGATCAAGACATAAAAGGTGTGAAATCAACAGGGCTACAAATTTGCAATCTCGAATTTTTAAAATTTTTGATTTTTGACCCCCAAAAATGAAAAATGAAATTGGATATATTACCGAAAAAATCAAAAACGTTTTTTAAGTTTCGAAAAAAAAAACGGAAAATATATGATAGTACCTACCAGTCAACCCAACGCCCCGCTTCCACCCGATCCTGGTAGCCAGCAGTTGACTGCCCTGAGCTTGACAGGTCAGGTCAGTGTGTGCCTGCGGGATACGGATGAAAGGCGCTGTCGGGTCACGGCTGGTGGACGGTGCTCAGTGCTGGCGGGTCATCAGTTCTGAGCGGAGTGTGGAGAGGCAGCATAGTGATCGCAGTTTCTGTTTTGTGGTTGCTCTGTGGTTCTGTGGGGATGTCTCACGAACTGCTCGATCAGAGGTTCCGGTAACGAGTTGCCTCATTGAAGAATAGCGCTCGCCTACTTCAAAAGGTTCGGCACCATTCTTCAAATCTGATTTGCGATCGGGTTATGGGCTATGGCACAATTTTTCCCATTGGAGCTTTTTCTAACACAGCAATACGAAAATTGTTATACCTATCGTCCACTGGCAGATCCAGGGAGCGGGCATATAAAGCAAATATTATCTCCCCCTCCCCTTGCATCGCCCGAAATAGACAATAAGTACCTTATGTTTCCTAATAATAAAACTTTTGCTTCATACTGTTCAGCAGCAAGGAATCGAAATCCGAGGAGTTTTTGGATTTTGGACACTGGGGGGGGGGTATGTCCCCTACAGCGTCGAAAACGCCTTTCTGGATCCGCCTTTGACATCATCTCGACTGGGATCTTGCCCCCCCCCCCCCCACGCCAAAATCGAATCCGCCGCCACTGGTCAGGAGCCCGGAGTCGGAGTCGAAGTCGGATTCGGAACAGCACTACCACAACTCCAAAAACCCTGAATTACAATGTGCATGCATGTAGGTACCCTTCAGAGTGTCTCCAGCGTAGGGTCTTGATGAAACATCTCTTAAAGTTTTCTTAAGCTGAGTGTAGCTAATTACGGTGGCCCATGAATCGATTCAAAGGTATCATAGATTATAGATTTTAGATTCAGCATGCTTTGATATCCATCAGGAATGGAATCGAAATCACAGATAAGGCACTCCCACTCGGATGCAGCGGACGCGTGCAATGTGCATGGGTCCGAACTCCGAATCACGAAAGGTATGCATGATCTCAGTGGATCTAGGAATCCTGATTGCTCTGTTCCGTCGTTTCCCTGGACTCAGGATACTCAAGTTGTCCTCAGCCCGTAATGTATTCGAGCATAGTCCCTTGTACAGTCTGTCTTAAAAGTACCGCGCAAAGTGACGGTGGATCCATCAAGCCTGACCGAGAAAGGGCCTGTTTTAATTTAAAAGTCACCGACCAATTGACCTAGGGAATGGAAAAGCATGCCAATTGCTTCGGTGACCCAAATTTAGCAGGCCCTTGCTCAGTCAAGCTCGATGGATCCACCGTCACTTTGCGCGGTACTTTTAAGACAGACTGTACTGCGTTCTATGTATATTAGTTTATGCTTCGTCTGTTTCGTCATTCCTTCTTGGAGCCGTGCAGTCTCTCGCCGCTTCTTGATCATCCCTGGGAGCCGGGAAGGATGGGTAGCGGGTACAGCTAATCCCTGACCACCTGTAGCGCCGTCGAGGTTCGGCGTGGGAAGGAGGGGAGGGGGGCTGGATGGGGACCGGTTCCCCTTCGCAAGGTGTGACGAGGAAGGGTGACGGCTCTGTCCCGTGGAGCGCTGACCCACGCAGCCGATGTGACACGTTATAGCTTGTAAGTTTGGACGCATTAGTTTCCAAGCTTTTGTCAGCCTTGGGGACCGTAAGTATGCCTCGAAGCGATGTATCCATTGGTCACCGCAGGAATTGGAAGTCGT